ATATAAACTTAAATAAAATCAGTAAATGAAATTTTTACATTGCATACTTTTGGTTTTGGATAAGATCATGATGCTCCAATGATGACATCAATTTGTAATTTAAAAAGTGGAAGTTTTTATTTTGTCTAAGATGTTACATTATTGGATGAATTCTTTGCAGATGCTTTGGGTGGGCTTATTTCAGTTGTTGGTGAAAATTTAGAAATTAATATTTCCTCTTCGGCACCTGCTCCTTATTAAAACATTTAAATATCCAAAACTTATGGGAATATGTGGAATAAAAAAGGAAATTAATATTAGATCACTTAACCTTAACTAGCTTCTGGATGTAGAAAAGATTATGTTTTTGAATTGTTACTTCCATAATTTGAAGCAAAAATTGAAGATAGTTAAAGGAATGTTAAAGTTATTGATGCAGAATTAATTATTAGAGATCCTACAAATGGAACTGTTATTAAAAAATAAAATAGTCTCACATTAACTTTTTTTAATCTTGATGAATAAATTAATCAGAATGAATAAGATATCGATGTCTATGCTTAATATTTTAGAGTAAAAGGAACAGAAGTTATTGATCAAGCAAGAAAGGCATGTGAATAAAATAAAAATGAAGATGCTTAAAAGCTGATTGATAATATGTTAATACAAATTTAGAAAAATTAAAATGTTGCTGCTCAATGTGGTGGAATTATTTAAGATTTGTAATAAGCCAAACAAGCATCAGAAAGATAATCATATAATTTATTTGGACAAAAATAAATGTGTTAAATGGTTAGTAATAATTATCAACAATAAGGAGTCAATTCAATGTTTTCTGCATAAGGATTTCAAGTACAATAAGTTTAACCAGCTTCCTACCAAAATATCTAATAATAAGCAATGATGGGTTTAGTGCAATAATCTAAACAACCTTATAAAAAAAATTGATAAATTTTATTCTTATCAAATATATTAAATATTATTTTATTTTATTTTATGAATTAGAAACCATATCTTTAGAGAAATCTTGAAAAATATCTTTTAATCAATTTATTTTTCTATAATTTGTTCAATCATCAAGATTTCAAAAATTAATGCTCTTTTTTGTTCGACAGACTAGGCAATGCAGAGTAAACTTATTTAATTGTTAAGTGGATTGCAATAATATACATCTATTAAAAATGAAATTTTATTTATCATCTAATTATTTATTGTTCTGAATTTTATTTTATTTAATTATGTTCTTTATATTTCCTTTGATATAAATATGCATCTCTAGCTTCACATATATTAACGATTAAACTCGTTATTCAGCTATTATAGATTGGAACGACCCAACTTAAGGGTAAGGATTGGTATCAAAATTATGTCCTTTAGGAGCAAAATATTATATGTATGAAACTTTAAATACTGACATATACTATTTTCTTTCAGTTGGGCTATTATTAAATGAAGATTTGTTTTATCTACATTATTTAGTGTTATCTAATTCTGAATAAAAAATCATTCACTATGTTTATTATAAATAGGATAATGTATGGTTATCTAACTAATTTAATTTTAATTTGTAAGACTATGAAGGATTATGGATTTAAGAGTATGTTTATTATGATATTGTTCAAAATTAGTTAAAAGTTGATATGAAATGGGGTAATTAGGAACAGGTCAGATGTTCTTATGATTATTAAAATTTCATGTATTAAACATTTAACTTTATTATTGGAGGTTCTTATGATGTAATAATATTTATGTTTATTTAGGTTGAAGATCCAATTACATAGAAGATGTTAAATTTAAAAACATTTCCTGGTTAACTTCGAGCAGCAACAAGTGTTTATAAACAAGATATGGACAATGGCTGGGAAATTTTCACTGAGTCCTTGTGTTCTTAAACTACGAGATTATTATTAGGAAAATTAGATTTTAGCTTATTTAATCAACATCAAATATATATGATAGAAAATTAGAATTTAAAATATTATAAAGTAACATTTTGGGCTTAGATTCCAAAATAATATGATTCAGACTCTGATCATAGAATTCACATATTTAGAATAGCAGCAAATCGATTTACTACTGATTTTTTAGCTACAGGATCAAATTCTTTTGTTTTATAATATGTATTTAATTAGGAAAATAAATAATGGATGATGATTATTAAATATTATTCATACATAATGCCAATCATAACATAATTTACATAAAATAATGATCCATTTGAAAATATAGATACTATTTTAATTGAAGATTATTCTTTATTAAGCTCATGGCATTTTATTGAGGTTGAATATAATCCTAATACTTTAAATTTTAATTATTTTAATAAAAAGTAAAGCGAATAAATAATAAGAACTTATTCAAATGTAAATTAGTTTTCAAATATATATTATCGTCTTTTTTTTGGTGGTTCAAGAGAGGATTTTAGTTCTTTAGAAAGATCATTTGGATTAATTTCATATTATGATTGTAATAATTAGAATATTTAATGTCACTATTCTTGCTAAACATGTGAAGGTCCTTTATCAAATGAATGTTTAAGTTGTCCTGAATCTTCTAATAGAATTTATAATGAAATTGAATAAACTTGTAGGTGTAAAGTTTGGTATTCTGAAACATCAGATTTTAATTGCGAATTCGTTACTTAAAATGAAGTGATTGTTGATCTTGTAAATGAATAGGATGATGAAGATAATGAATTCTGTAAATTTGGAGAATTTAGTTTTAATTAAATTTGTTTTTAATGGTATATGATAATTTAATTTAGTCCTTCAGCTAGATAAATTAATTAAGTCATTTGTGTAGAATGTTTAATGAGACCAATTGATTGGGTAATAAAAAGTGCTAGTTGTAAAGACACCTATTATTAATTTGAAAATTATAATTCTAATAGCTTTCTTAAAGTGAAAAACAATCCTGAAATAACAAATATATAATTTATATTTGAAAATGAATAACTATTGCCATGTCATGGTTGTATCTTATGCGATTAAATTACTGATTAAAATTGTTAAATCTCAAAATATTAACATTTAAATAGAGTAACCTATATTAAATGTTAAATTGGTTATTTATTCTCTAATGGAAAATGTATTAAGATTAAATCACTTGAAACTAAAAAGACTTACTGCTAAATTAATTGCTAACTATGTGAAAATGATATTTGCTTATTGTGTTCTAGTTTAACAGAATATTTTATAAACTATATGGGATAATGCTAATAATGTTCAATTATACATTGCAAATACTGTTTTTAATATAATTAATTCAATTTTAAAGAAAATTCAATATTATAAAATGAATAAAACACAAATTAAATAAATGATGATTACTTAGTTGGATGTGCTTAGTGCCAATAAGGTTATTCCTTTTCATTTAAACAGAATTTATGTATAAAAAATAATGTTGATAATTAATGTTCAAATTTTATCGATAATGAAGGTAATACCATCTGTTATGCTACTAAATTCGAATTATTATAGAGTAAATTTTAATAAATAAATGATTGTTAAGATATAATCCCTAATTGTGAATAATGTATTTATAGTCAATTTGATCTGATGGTATGTATTTAATGTTAGGATGGATATTTTAATAGCAAACTTAATGGTTTATGTATGTCATGTAAAGATTTATTTGATTATGTTTAAGAATGTGAATTGAACAACAAAACGCTCTAAAAATATAAATTAGAAACTATTGGATATTTATAATTATTAACTTAAGATTTTTATAATCTCAACTAATTATTTAGTAATTATAACTAAGTCTTAATTACTTAATGTTCAAATAATTTAGTATTAGATATTAATTTAAACAAATGCACAGAATCTTGTTTAAATTGTGATAAATGCAAATACATCCATGGAGAATACTAATGCATCAAGTGTACTTCTTAATCAGATGAAATTACTGATTTTTATTCATAGATTTCTGGCAATTGTTATCAATGTCCTTATCCGTGTAAATTCTGCCTTCAATTAGACAGTGATTTAATTAATGTAAAAATTAGAACCATATTAGAAATATAATCCATACTTTTTACTTAATTCAACAAGCATTAAATAAGCTCAAAAATGTCTAATTAACTTTGATAATAATTTAACCTATATTGATCAAAAAAGTGGATTGATTAAACCTTTTAATAATGAAACAAAAATGAAATAAAAGTTTATAAGTTACAGTGAAAAATTATCAACTTCTGATGGTACCTTTGTATTGTCAAAAAGTATATCAAGTTATTATTATTTTATTGCAAATTAAATCCCCTCATAATTAAATTTGATGAATAATTATTATGCATTAAAAAATTATACATCTACCATTATTGTTGACGCTTATTTTACCGGATAAGGATTTGTTGAACTTTTTAATATAACTAATTTTCACATTTTCAACAGTTTATATAAGTACAAAAATTCTTACATCAGAGTCACTTCTTTTTATGGTGTTGATATTATTATTTAGAATCTTACTATTAAAGATGAAATTGAATCCAATTTTTTACTTATCTATATCTCCTCTGATATAATTATAAATGAATTTTACATTGAAAATTTATTGTTAAACGATGCCACAATTATCAAAATAAATAGTTTTTTTAAGAATTCTTCTATTAAGATCACTTATTTGTAATTTTATAATTGCACTTTTTAAGATAGTGTATTTTTTTCATTTATATCTGATAAATTTAATACAATTTTGATCAAATCTGTTAATATATAAAATTGTACTTTTAAAAATAGTTTTTTTATTAAATAATAATTATTGGATCACAATTAACAATTCTTAATCGAAGATTTTTCCTTTGAAGATTGTTTATTAGAAAATAGTTAATTATTTTTTATACCAAGAACTTTTAGTGTTATTTAAATGAATAAAGTAAAATTTTCAAACAATTAATTATACAATTCAACAATATTATCAACATTTTCATCTGTAAACCTATATGAGGTTGAAATAATAAATACAATAGCAATATAAAGTATAATTTTTTATCATTAATTTGAATAATCCTCTAGTTTTTACTAAATAAATAAATTAAAATGTACAAACTTAGATTTAAATGGATCAAATATTTTGTAAATAATTTCTTTGTAGCAAAATATTAAAATAAATGTAACTATAAGAGATTCTTAATTTGAAAACATCAATTAAATATACTTTGATGGAAAAATAAGTGAAAACTTTTTTTTTTATATTCAAGGTGCTAACTTCTATGCTAATCAAATTATTCTCTAAAATTAAATAATTTTTTAATTTTTAGGTTTAGAGGACTGCTTTAATATTATCATTGAAAAATTAAATGTTGAATAAAATACAGAAATAAACCAATCTCTAAAAAAATAAACTATCAGTTAAAGTAAAATTTATTAGAACGAATTAATTTATATTTCTAATTTTGTTAGTTTGGATTTGAATTAAATAAAAATTTAAGGAATGACATAGATTGTAGATCCATTAATCTAAATCAGATCTGATGAATCTAAGAAAAAAATAGTAAATATTACAAATTTAGAAATCAAGAATTATCTTAGTTTAAATTTGATAAAGTCAGTTAATTCTGTGGTTCATATTTAAATTTATTCAGAGTCTTTTATTTAATTAAAAAATTGTGCATTTATATCAAATTAATTTTGGTATCAATAGTCGAATTAAGATTTATTTTAATCTTCTTTAATAAAAGTATAATCTCCTAAATCAATAGTAATATTAGATAATTTAATGTTTAACGATTTGAAAATCTACAATTCTTCAGAATCTATTATTTTAATTGAGGCTAATGTTATTTATGCTTCTAATCTCTAAGTTTATAAAATTAATGCTGATAATTAAAATTAAGTTAAAAGTTTGTGTGGCTTTGGGATATTTCAAACATAATTTATAAATTTAACTAATTCAAAGTTCATTGAAGTCAATAGTATTTATTATGGCTTCATTTATATTCAATTAAAGTAAGAAGGCAAGTTAACTCTAAGAAATTGCATTTTTGATAATACTTTTATTGCTAATCATCCTAATTATTAAATTTAAATTGGTGGTGTTTTGACTATTGATGGTTAGCAATCTAAATTAAATTTAGAAATTATTAATCTTTAAGCAAAAAATATCTTTTCTTAATAGAAATGTGCATTTTTAAATCTTATTCCCTCATCTTTAACAAATAATATCTTTATGAAAAATTTATCCTTTATAAACTTATTTTCATCAGAAAATTCCTTTGGTACATTTGATTTTTCTTCCAATAGTAAAAATAATAAAATCGTACTTTATTATATAAACTTCGATAACACTGAAGAATAAATTGTTAATAAATTATCTTAATACACCAATTTATAAAATTCAAGTAATTTAGATGGTATAATTTCATCAAGTTTCAGGTAAATAAATATATAATTATATTAGTCCTGTGTTGATCTTTCATTTTACTTACTCAGGATATCTAAATTAACCGATCTGTAGAATTAATAATGGGGATTTAAAATTAAAGTAATTTGTTTTAACTTCCATAAATATAATATGTGAACTTTCTCATATATTTAGCTTTGAAGCTAGGTTAATGAAAAATATATTTATTGAAGATTTTGTGCTTTATAAAATTGAATCTCAATTTTATTTAAACAATTTCTTTAAATTAAATTAAACAAAATAATCCTAATATTTAAGGTTTAGAAATTTAAAATTTCAAAATATAATGTGTCCATTTTGCTAAAATGGATTGACAATTTTTTCAAGTGACTCAGATTTTTAAAATATTTTATTTTCTAATATCAATTTTTTGAATAATAATTGTGGAAATAATAGTTGCTTTATTGTAAAATGCAAATAAATCAAATTTTAAAAATCAAAATTTATTGATAATGTAGCATAATCAAATGGAATTTTATAATTTTAAACTAGTTCAATAAATTTGAGTTAAATAATTTTGAAAAACAATATAATTTTAAATATTGCTGGTTCTATTTATTTATAAAATTCTTCTATCATAGCTAGTGATATAATAATAGTTAATAATAGCGCAAAAATTGGTGGTGCAATAATTAGTGAATAAAATAAATTAAAGAAGGAGACTATAAAGTAATTGATGTTGTATGAGAATAAAGCAACTAATGGATTGAACAATATAAAAGAGGAAGCTGATTTTTTGAAATTAAAAATGTATGGAATTGTTCTTAAGACAAAAAGAGAAAAGATTGGATCATTAATTATAGATCGTCCAGCTTATATTGTTAATTATAAATAAGAAAGACTTAATGAAACATATATAAAAGTTGCTAGTGGTTAAATGCTTAAAGATTTTAAAATATTTGATATTCCAAAAATGCAATAAGTGAAAAATAATATCTCTTTGAGTATAGAATTATATACTTAACTTGGTGAAAAAGTAGTAAATAATTTGGATAAGAAATGTTATTTTGAATAATTATATGTTGATGAAGGGAAAGGTTATTAATTATAAGAGATATTAATGAATTCTTAATAAGAGAATGTTACAATTTCATCTTTTAATATTGAGACTTAATCTTATAGTTTAGATAGTATGGTATTTAATTTAGATCCTAATGCTAATTAGTAAGTATATTTATTAGTAAAATCATATTGCGAAGGTATGAATGAAGATCAAAAATTTCTATTTAATGTTAAAACGTTAAAATGTTAGATTGGAGAATATTATAATAATAACCAATAATGTTTACAATGTGATTTTGAAAAAGGATATTATTCAGTTGAAAAGGATTCTATTGAATGTTAAAGATTGGATCCTAAGAAGATTAAAGCAGTAACATCTTAATCAATTGAATTATTACCAGGATTTTGGAGATATTCATATTATTAACATTATATAGAGGAATGTGAAAATAAAGAATTATGTTTAGGGGGTTGGGAAGTCAATTATAAATCTTGTAAAACTGGTTCAATTGGTGCAATATGTAAAGAATGTGATCTTTATAATATACGAGGAGAATCTTAATATTTAAAATCCATTTAAGGAGTTTGTGAAAAAAAAGTACTGGAACCTAAAATAGTCATAATTACAGTGATCCTAATGATTTTGTAATGAATTTTTAATTATTTAAATTAGAACTTTTGGAGTTGCTTACAAAATTTCAGCTAGTAAATACTAAATGAATCTTTTTTATAGAAGTTTAAAATTAAAGACAATACATTTCAAAATATTATTTCGATGTCAAATTGGTAATTAATTTAATTTTTTATATTTAGATCAATCAACCACATTGATAAAATTACTAATACATATAATGTAAATATTATATCATTTGTTTCCACATTTAAGTATTTAATCTAATTTTTAAGAAATAATTTGGTCAATAGGGAAATCATCTAAGACTTTATTATTTTTAGTTAATTTTGTTGCTGATTATTTAAAGATATCTATTATTTACTTATAAGTAATTTGGGCAGTATTAATTCCAATTTTATAAATAATATTAATTGGTTTTTGTTATTAATTGTTCTAAATATTTTTAGTAAATGGAAATAGGAATTTCAGTTATGCTTTAATATCATGTTTATTTATAATATTTTATTCAATTCCGAATGTGATAGAAGAGTAAAAGATATTTAAATGATTTAGGTTATCTTCATTGACTTCTATAAGAAGTGTAGTAAATATAGATTGGATAGAAGCTAATTTAGCATATGTTTATAATACAAAAGAACATTATTCTTGGATTCTATATTTTATAATGCCAATTATGTTAACAACATTTATTACAATTCCATTGACTGCATTTATATTGATAAGAAAGAGACATAAATAGATTCACAAAGTTGATCCAACTATTGGAATTTATGGATTTTTATGCAATGATTATAAAGAATAGTTTTATTATTGGGAGTTAGTAAATTTATAGATGAGATAATTAACAATATTAATTCATTAGCATATTAATAATCTAAGAATAATATTTAAGAATTTGATAGTTCTTTTGATTTTATTTATATACTTTGTAGCAATATCTTAAAAGAAACCCTATGAGAAATAATATATAAATAAGATAGAAAGAATTGGTTTATTTACATGTTCAATAGTAGTGTGTTTTATTTGTTTATCTTAGGAGACAAAAGATGAAGGTTTAAAAGAAGTTTAATTGATATCAGAATATGTAATAATAATAATTGTAATATTCTTGTTGACTTACATAATTTATTATATTTTGTTAGTTTTAATGAGAAACTATGATGAATCTTTTGATAGATTAAGAAAAATTATATTAATAAGATTTCCATAGATTGATAATTAATTTCCATGTATGAAAAAGTATTTGAGATCCAGACTGGAAGCTAAAAGGAATGTAGAGAAAAAGTTTGTTTTAATAAAGTAATGTTTAAAGACACATAAATAAAATAATTCAAGAATTCTTAGATAGACAATAAATTTGGCAAATGAGGAAATGATATCTTAGATACAAAGATCAGATCATAGATAATTAATAATATCATCTCACTTATCTTACATATATTGAAAATGATAAAATAGATGATTGTGAATCAATTGAACGGAATCTGATAAATATATATATATACTATATATATATAAATAAATTTATTAAAATTTATTTGTGATGTAAGAAGGCAAAAAGTCGAAAAAATTCTTTGGGAAGGATATCATGAATCTTTTAAAATTGATGATACCTGAGAAGAGATATTATGTGATAGGGATTACAGTAGCTGGTTTGAATAGTGCTTTATTATTATATTTACCTTAAGTGACTACTGACATAGCAAAATTATAGGAATTAAAATATGATTAAGAAAACAAATAAAAGAGTTAGTAGACTAATATCTATTATCATTTAAAATGGGGTGGAGTTTGTTTATTAGGAATGTTTTTAGGAGGAGCACGTAGATTTTTGAATACTTAAATAAGTAATAGAGTAGGGATGAGAATGAGATATGCTATGTTTTAGAAATTAATGAGTACAAGAGAGAGTTAATAATTACATTCATAATAATTAGTTCATAAATTATCAAATGATGTTAGTTTAGTGTCAACTGGATTATCATAGGATATATTTGTAATGATTAGAGGATTAATAACAACAATAGGAGGTGCAGCATATTTATCTTATTATGCATTTCCTTTATTAGCATCCGCAAGTGCTGCTGCAGCTGTTATGGGAGGATCAGCTATTTTATTAGGAAAATATATGTCATAATTTAAAGTTAAAGAAACTTAAGAATTAGGATCTTTAAGTGAAGTATCATAAGAAATGTTATAAGCACATCGATTAATCAAATTATCTGATATGGAATAAAAAGAAAATCAAAGATATTCTGCATAATTATTCAGATGGTATGAATAAGCAACATAATTTTCTAAGATGTAAGCATTAAATATGGGATTAATGGAAGGAGGTGGTCTATATGCATTAATATTAATTCTATTTTAAGGTTGTTATTTAGTTGCAACTGGAAATTTAGATCCAGAATTAGCTAAATATTTTATTTAAGCAGTATATATGGCATCAGGAACTAGAGCAATGATATCTATTTATAATGAATTAGTTAAAACCGCTGCTATTTATAAAACTATACTTGATGTTCATCCAAATCTACATAAGTCTGAATTATATAATTAATCAGATCTAACTAAAAATTATAGAGAATATATTAAATTAGATGATATATTAAAAGCTAAATTACTTAATCCTCCTTAAAGTAGTGAACATACAAAAGAATGGTAAGAATTATATGAACATCCTACTACTCCACCTCCAACTATTACATTTAAGAATGTATAATATTCATATCCAAATCATTAAAATACTACATTAACATTTAATATTTAAATTAACTCAGGGGAAATTGTTTTATTATAAGGACCAAGTGGATCAGGTAAGACTACTGCTTTAAATCTCTTAACCAAATTATTAACACCATCTTAAGGAGAAATATTAATTGATGGAGAACCATTATCTAATAAAGATTTTAAATGGATTTAATAACATGTATCATATGTTTAATAAGATGGAATCATATTTAATGCTACTGTTTATGAAAATATCATCTATGGTAATCATGGATATGATTAAAGTATGGAAAGAGTTATCTAAGCTGCTAAATTGGCTAGAGCTCATGATTTTATTGAAAATATGTAAAATAAATATTAGACTAAATTAAAATCTGATGGAACTACATCATTATCTGGAGGATAAAAATAAAGAATTGTATTAGCTAGAGCAATACTCAAAAATCCTAGAATTCTCATCTTAGATGAAGCCACATCCAACATTGATAGTCAATCTGAATTTGATATCATCTAAGCATTAATGTAAATATGCCAAGATAAGACAGTTATTATTGTTTCACATAAAATAGAAAATTATAAACCATTATTAACAAGAGTCATTAATTTGGATTAATGATATATATTTTCATTTATATTAATTTTAACAGTTCAATGTAATATGTTGCTAATCGAATGCTTAATTATCTTGAGCCCTAGATGTATACTAGATTTTCAATTTTGGCTAATCAAAAAGGATGTGTAAATTTAGGATAAGGATTCCCAAATTTTCCTCCACCATAATTTTTAAGAGAAGCACTATCTTAAGAATCTTTAACTGAATAATTATAATATACAATGACAAGTGGTCATCCAAAATTACTTAATTCTATTGCGAATTTCTTTGAAAAAAGAATGGCATTAAAAATTAATGTTGATAAAGAAATTGTTGTTAGTTCAGGAGCATAATCTGTATTATGTTGCTTAATGTAAGGAACTTTAAATCCACATGATGAAGTTATTGTATTTGATCCAGCTTTTGGTAAATATTTTCATGATTTTTAGATTTATATAGACCTTTAATTGAATTTTCAGGCGGAAAACATATTGGTGTTCCATTGAAACCTAAAATTAAGAATACTAAAGAAATGATGATGAAAAGAAGTTTAGATGGTCAATTTATATGTTCAAATGAAGATGAATGGGAAATCGATTACAAATATTTGGAAAAAGTAATAAATTATAAAACGAAATTGATTATTATTAATTCACCGATGAATCCTATTGGAAAGTAAATTTATTATTTATATTTGAATATTTACAGATGAAGAATATAATAAATTAGCAGAACTATTAGATAAATATCCTTAAGTGATTATATGTGAAGATGCTGCATATCATCATATTACATTTGGAAAATATTAACCTTTTGTTTATCCTAGGTGTATAACTCATCCAAAATTAAAAGAGAAAACTGTATGTGTAATTAGTGCTGGTAAGATGTATTCAGCAACAGGATTAAGAGTTGGATTTGGTATAGGAAATGAAGATATAATAAAAGCAATGAAGGCTGCTTAAACTTATCATATATTTTGTTTAAATCCAATAATTTAAACAGCAACAGCAAGATGTTTAGATTAAACAATTGATGGAATTTATTTTAATACTATCTCCAAATTATATGAATAATAATCAAATAAATTGTTGTAAGGATTAATATAAAGTAAATTGAATTTTAATTATTGGATTCCATCTGGTGGATATTTTATTGTTACTGATATCTAAAATATAGAAATACCTTAAAAATATTTTATTTAAAATGGGATTTAGGTTACTAGAGATTTTGCATTTGTTCATTATATGATTAATGAATTTGGTGTTGTTTGTATTCCTTGTTCTCCTTACTATGAAAACAAAGAAATAGGCCAAAATCTTGTTAGATGGGCATTTTGTAAGACCGATGAGACTCTTTTAGAAGCAATCCATCGTCTTAAATGATCATTATTTAATTATTATATTATAAATGTATTCATCTAAAAAACAGAAAGAAAGTGAACCAATCTTTAAAGGCTATTTTAAAGATAATAGTGATGAAGATAATGATGATAAGATAAAAAGAAAACAAACTTTAATTATGAATGTTTAAGGTAATTCTAAATTATACAAAGAGATACTAAATATGATGTTGTAAAATTTGTTGGTAAGAAAATATTCAAATGGATATTATAATATGAAATAGAGGGAAATACATGGGATGTATTTTGGACAGATACAGCAATTTAATCAGAAACTTTAGGAAAAATGCAACGTTTATATTATAAAATATATTTTGATAGCACATTAAAAAATAAATCATTTTCCAGGGATGTTCTCTCTTGCTCGTAAAAATCATTTAGGAAGAAATCTTATGAAAATGAGAAAACAATTTCCTTTTGATTATAAGTTTTTTCCATAGACATGGTTATTACCAGCTGAATATGGAGATTTCAGAAATTAATTTATTAAAGGTAAAGCAAGAACTTTTATTGTTAAACCAGAAGCAAGTTGTTAAGGAAGAGGAATATTTTTAACTAGAAACATTAATGATATAGATCCAAATGATCATTATGTTGCATAAAGATATTTACATCGTCCATTTTTAATAGATGGATTAAAATTTGATTTAAGAGTATATGTTCTATTAGCAGGTACAGATCCTATGAGAATATATGTTTATTAAGATGGTTTAGTAAGATTTGCTACTGAACCATATGTAGCACCTTGTAATAATAATCTTGATGATATTTGTATGCATTTAACAAATTATGCTATCAATAAAGAAAATCCTAATTTCATATTCAATAATGATGCATCTAAAATGAATGTTGGACATAAGAGATCTATTAAATCTGTTTTTGATAAATTAGAAGAAGATGGATATAATATTCAAAAATTATGGTAAGATATGTATCAATTATTTATTAAAACATTTTGTACTGTTTAACCTATTCTAAATCATCATTACAAATCTTGTCAACCAGATAATTATGCTAATAACATGTGTTTTGAAATTTTAGGTTTTGATATTTTTCTTAATCATAAACTTTAACCTTTCTTATTGGAAGTAAATCATACTCCCAGTTTTAGTACTGATACACCATTAGATTCTCTTATTAAGAAAAATCTTATTAGAGATACTCTTATATTGATGAATGTTAATCTTAAAGCTAAAGAATAAATCATTTTCTCTAGAAAAGAATAATTAAAATAAAGAGTTTTAACTGGCAAAAAACTTAAACTTACTTAAGAAGAAAAATAAACACTTATCTTCAAATTCTAAAAAATTAGGGATGAATATGAGAATCATAATCTAGGTGATTTCATTAAAATTTATCCTTTATAAGATTCTGGAGAGTATACTCGATTTATATAATTTGCATCTTAATTATAAGATAATTGGACAGGAGCAAGTAATTATTTATAAAAGTAATAAAAGATATTAAAAAGAATTAAAAGAAAGAGATTAATGATATACTTACTAATAATATATCAAACAATAAAAATATTGGTAAATCTATAAATTATTCTTATTCTCCATAAATGCTTCCTAAAATTAAAAATCGATCAATCAGAATCAATCAATCTGGATATCAAAATGAAGAACCAGAAAACTAATACTTCCAAAATTAAGCTATCATTTAGAATCAAATCAAAAGATAGGTATACATATCATAAATATTTAGTAATAATTAAATATGAAAGAAGCTTAACAATAATAATCATAATCTAAGTCATATTTATAATAAAAATTATTTGATTTAGATAGCTTAAGTAATTAAAATCAACCTTGTTGCTCTTCTAATAAAAAACTAAACTTATTTAAACATCAACAAATATGATAATATATTCTTAAATATATAATTAAATGCTGTTTAATTTAAATTCTCTTCTCATCGTTTTACTAAATTTTCTGAGTACATTATTAAATAAGCAATTTAGCATCTTTAGCAGAAACTTTGAAATTTTGACAAAATTAAACACAATGAAGTAATTGGTGATGCAATTTAAGTTTTGAAGTGATACTTTTTATGAAAATTGCGCAATGAAAATTCCTTTCAAGAGATGATTCAAAAATGGAGAATATTGATAATTATTATATATACATATCTCAAATGACAGAGATAGACCTATCCCAACCCTTTTATTCTTATCCAATAGAGAAAGTTGTCACATCTGTAAAGACTGATCTTGCAAAGTAAATTTGATTATGAAAATATAGAGGATTATCAAGTGATGAAGCAAAGGCAAGATTAGCAAAATATGGAGGAAATGAACTTGAAAAAGAAGAGAAAGAGAGTATATGGGAGAAGATAAAGGAATAATTTGAGGATAATTTAGTAAGAATCTTGCTTTTGGCTGCAGTGATATCTTTTGTGATATCTCAATTTGAAGATCATGAAGAAGTTCATGCAGTTCCTCCTTGGGTTGAACCATGTGTAATCTTTACAATATTGATCTTAAATGCTGGAGTAGGAATATGGTAAGATTTAGATGCAGAAAGGGCAATAGAAGTAAATAAGAAATAATATAATATAGGCATTAAAAGATTTATAATCACCACATGCTATAGTATTAAGAGATTCAATTTGGGGATAGATTGAAGCAAAAGATTTAGTAGTAGGAGATGTAGTAGAGATAAAATAAGGAGATAGAATTCCAGCTGATTTAAGAATGGTAGAATTAAAGACAATTACATTAAAAACTGATTAAGTAATATAATATATTTATATATTAGTCAATATTAACAGGAGAAGTAAATCCAGTTAATAAAATAACAGATGCAGTTATGAAATAGGAAGCAGCAGTTTAAGATAAAATCAATTTTTTGTTTTCTGGAACTTTAGTATCTAATGGAACTGCAATAGGAATAGTATGTTGTACAGGAATGAAAACAGAAATTGGAAAAATATAGAAAGAAGTATAAGATGCAGCTAAAGAGAAATAAGATGATGATGATCCATTATCAAAAAGATTGGATGAATTTGGAGATAAATTAGCTAAAGTTGTGACTTATATTTGTATTGGATGTTGGTTAATGAATATAAGTAATTTTTCAGATCCTGCTCATGGAGGTACAGTAATGGGAGCCTTATATTATTTTAAAGTAGCTGTTGCATTAGCAGTGGCAGCAATTCCTGAAGGATTACCTGCTGTTATTACAACTTGTTTAGCTTTAGGAGCACGTAGAATGGCTAAATAAAAAGCTATTGTTAGAAAATTACCTAAAGTATAAACTTTAGGATGCACTACCATTATCTGTTCAGATAAAACTGGTACATTAACTACTAATGAAATGTGTGTCAAAGAAATTGTATTATTAACAGGAAATGAATCATCATCTGTTTAAGTATTTACAGTAGAAGGTACCTCTTATCATCCTGAAGGTTAAATTAATTAATTAGATACTACTTTTATTAAATCTAATCAATTAGCACCAAATCTTAAGAGATTAGCATAATCTATGGCTTTATGTAATGAATCTAAACTCTTTACAGATAAAGGAAGAGTTTAGAGAAGTGGATTACCTACTGAAGCAGCCTTAAGAGTTTTAGTTGAAAAAATTGGAAAATATGATCAATCTTTTAATTCTAAACCTGTCTTAGATGCACCTCAATAATATAATGATGCTATATCTTCAGAATTCACTAAAAGAGCTACTCTTGAATTTACAAGAGATAGAAAAAGTATGTCAGTTTTAGTTAATTCTAAAAATGAAAAAGCTAATGTATTATTCATAAAGGGAGCACCTGATTATTTACTTGAAAAATCAAATCATATAATGAATCTTAATGGAGATATTGTCTAATTTAAACCTTAAGATAAAACATAATTCTTAAATATTGTTAAAAATCTTGCAGAAAAAGGATTAAGAACTTTAGCTATCTGTGTTTAAGAAGACTGTGGATAATTGAGTAATTATGATGGACCTAAACATCCTGCACATTCTTTATTAGTAGATACCAATACCTACAAAGATATTGAAAATAAACCTATCATCATTGGAGTTGTTGCACTTCAAGATCCACCAAGACCAGAAGTTAAGAGATCTATTGAAAAATGTAGAGAAGCTGGAATCTCAGTTATCATGATTACTGGAGATATTAAAGAAACTGCTTAATCAATTGCTATGTAAATTGGTATTTTACATAATCAAAATTAATTTACAACTCATTCATTTACTGGTCTTGAATTTAATTAAATGGGAGAGGAGAAATAAAAGAAAGTTTTATAACAAGTGATAGGTAAACCAAGTGGATTAGTGTTTTCTAGAACAGATCCATCTCATAAGAGAGAACTAGTAAAATTATTAACAAGTTAACTAAATTAAATAGCAGCAATGACAGGAGATGGTGTAAATGATGCTCCAGCATTGAAATAAGCAAGTATTGGTATAGCAATGGGTATTGCTGGTACAGAAGTGGCAAAAGAAGCTTCTGATATGATTTTAGCAGATGATAATTTCGCAACAATAGTAAGAGCAGTAGAAGAGGGTAGAGCAATATACTAAAATATGAAAGGATTCATTAGATATATGATATCTTCAAATATAGGAGAAGTGGTTTCTATTTTCACATCATCATTATTAGGAATACCAGATGGATTTAATTCAATATAATTATTATGGGTAAATTTAGTAACAGATGGTTTACCTGCAACAGCATTATCTTTTAATCCACCAGATCCTGATGTAATGTAAAAACCCCCAAGAAAACATGATGAACCAATAATAACAGAATTTGTGTTTATTAGATATTGTGTAATAGGTACATATGTAGGTTTGGCAACAGTATTTGTATTTATGTATTTCTATTTGGGTTATGAATGGGCAGGTGATGGTCATCCAATAGTAACATTTAGTTAATTGAGAAATTGGGGAGAATGTCATAATTGGGAAGGATTTAAAGTATCTAATTTCGATAAATATGATTTTTCTAAAGATCCATGTTTATATTTTTCATGGGGAAAATAAAAAGCATCTACTTTAAGTTTATCAGTATTAGTAGTCATTGAAATGTTTAATGCTTTAAATGCTTTATCAGAAGATAGTTCTTTATTGAAAGTAGGACTATTTGCAAATCCATATTTGATTTTAGCAATTATTGGATCAATGACATTACATTGTATGATTTGTTATGTTCCATTATTTGAAAACATCTTTAATACTGTTCCTTTAACTATTAATGATTGGTAATTTAATTTAATAATTATAATAGGATCCTTGTATTGTGTGTATCTGCTCCAGTAGTTTTGGTGGATGAAGTATTGAAAGTATTTTCAAGAATTAGAAATGCCAAATTATTAGAATAGAGAAAGAAATTAGATTGATTCATTTAATGAGTAAGTGTTTAATTATCAAAAAATACAATAGCTAATTTCATTCTAATCATTATTATCAAGATTACGTCACTCTTCTTTTTAAAAATCCATCTTTTTTCATTTGCATAACAGTTACTTTATCATCTAAAAATGGATTTCGAATATTATTATTGTATACATCTCTTTAAATTGTTGCTTCATCTAATTCTCCTAGAAATGCCTAATATTCTTCTGATTCATCACTTAAACTCTTTTTCTTTTAATTAATCTAATCTAAGAATATTCTATCATTCTTTCCAGAATTATAAACTTTTAAGTATCCATTATATGTCTTTTCTTTTGCAATACTTGTATTCTCATTCAAACATAGTTAAGAGAATTATTTATAATTTTTGAACATCGAATCCAGTTCATAATTTATTTCCTTCTATTTTTTTGGTATTCTCTTTTTTAATTCATCTCTTACTACATCTTGAACTATTTTAGATTTCTTATTAATAATATCTCTATTTAATTTATCAATCATAGTAGGCATTGTTGATTAATCAGGAACTCCCCTAAAAGATCTTTTAACTGAATATTTCTAAGCAGCTATCTCGAGTGCAGTTTGACTCTTACAATATTATTACAATTAACTAATTCTTCTTATTGTTTCTTTCTTTTGATCTAATTAATTTACATTTGTATGAGGTTCCTATTAAGGATTCCATATTCGATTGTGCTTTTATTCTAACTTAATTTCAAAATATGATTAGTTTTTAGGAATCTACTTTATCAAATTTATTTAATACTTTTGTATTACTTATTGAACTGATTCCCATTATTGATACTCTATTTTCTTATTTCAATCTAGAAATCGCTTTTCTTAAACTTGCTGATCTTATTTATGTACTAGAAATACATCCCTGAATTTATCTATTACTTATTCCAGATTAAATTGATGTACTTAAATCACCAAAAGTAAATGTTTTTTTCATTAAATATTAAATAATAAATTTAATTCCAAATAAAATAAAAAAATATTCAGTATTAATTATACTAAAATGACATCTTCTTAATTTATTCAAAACTTATCTTTACTGTTACTTTTTTTTAAATATTTCACTTATTTCTAGTTGAAGTATCAATTTAAATTCTCTCTCCATTAAATAAAATCAATTATGCTTATTGCAATCTTACTAAATTATCTAAAATATGGGTTACTTTTGTTTTCTGTTGGTTCAAAATGAATTTAAATTGATACTAATAATGTAATGGAGAGAGTTTAAAGAAGATATGCAAATTTTACAATGATAAACTCTGAATTTTAAACACAAGATTACTCATGATAAGGTTTTTAAAAATTAATAGAAGATGACACAGATTCAAATAATCAATATGATCTTAATCATAAGGGTTAACTCAAATTAAAAATTAATCAATATCGATTTACACAATCATCCTATCTCAAATATAGACGGAAATTGATATTAAAGATATAATCAAAATCTCAAAAGTAATATTAAGAAGAAGAACTCATTCAATAATTCTCTATTATAATTATCAACAATCTTTTATATTAGAGACCTTGAACTGGATTAAATTATACTGAAATTCTTATATCTTCTATTCTTATCTTTTTCAACATATATAAGATTTATTTGTTAAAATCTGAACTTAAACTAAAACAATTTGTATTCAAGAAATAGATTGATTTTATTTCATGAATAGTAAGAATTTACACATAATGCTAACTATACTATTTTGAATTATCATTTATTTAGTCTTACACTTGAAAATAGTAATCAATTTCAAAGCTCATAAAAAATTATCAATCATCTATTCATGTATTTGCAAATCTTTTTTGGCAAAATAGGTGAATTTGATTATTTAATATTTATACTTCTTTTTTTAAATATATAAATATTACAAAAAAACAAAGAAGAACTATTCTTTTTATTATAATTCTTATATTACAATTTGTATTTTTACTTTTAGAACTCTAGGATTAATTGTCTCATTTTCCAGATACCGAGATTAATAATAGTAATAGAAATAAAATAAACGACATATTAATGTTATAGAAAGAGAATAATCTTTTGTAGGAATATATATGTAAAATTAGACAAGAACTAACTAAATCAAACTTAAAACTAACTTTAGAAATTGATGAAACTGTTAATATACCTAAGAGAAATGATTTGTGACTGATTCAATAAATTAAATAGATAAAATGAGTGCAAAAGGTTATGTTATTGCTATGATGAGTTTAGATGAATATTAGTGAAAAGTAGAATTTGATAAGAATAGAATAGATTAATATATTAGTTTTTTGTGTATATGTATTATTTCATTTTTAAGTTGGCTAGAATCTAACTCTAAAAAAGTAATAAAATGAAAATTTTGTTAATCTTTTGAAATTGATAAGTACTATTTGATTTAAGAGATGTGAGTAAAAAATGATAAAAATTTGTTAAAATTATTGATAATTGAAATAATTATATTAATAAATGATTAAATGATGAAATATAAGTATTTATATAGAATATAATGGAATAGGTTAAATTTAAAGAAAGAGAATAGTTTTAAAGGAAAATATGTAAGGGATTGAATATTCACCTCAGATTAATGAATTATTATAAAGTGATTATATATATTAAAAATAAATGAACGTTTGCAGTTCGCGATATTGTCAATATAACTTAAGTATAGGTTAGATGGTTTCAATCCCTAAAAATAGGATTTACTGCCCATTTTGCAAAACTACATATTATTGTTCATAGAAATGCAGAGATATCGACTGGTATTGATAGGAATAAATTTGTTTAGGACTTCTGGACATAAGTCTTAATGCATACCTGAGAAAATGATTAATTCTCAAGAGATATCCAATAGCGATAATGTTTCAACATTAAGATAGATGAAGAGAACTTCAGATGAATTTGAGTTAATTTACGATTATCCATAATTAGGAAAAGGAAGCTTTGGATCAGTTAAATTAGTGAAAGACAAAACCAACGAATAATTGTATGCAATGAAGATTGTACATATTAAACTTAAAAAATAAAGATAACAAAAAAAGATATCTTTGAGTATTGCTCTATTGAAAACTTAAAAAGAGAGATAAGAATTCAACGTAAACTATATCATCCAAACATCACATAACTTTATCATTATTTTGAAGATAAAGATCGTGTTTATTTGATATTAGAGTATGCAGAACATGGTTCTTTGTTTTAATATTTAAGAAGAAGAGGAAAACTTACAGAAGATGAAGCTATGAAATTTTTTAAGTAAACTTGTTTAGGTATTCAATATTTACATCAATAAGATATAATACATAGAGATTTAAAAGTATTTTTTATCATTATTATTATAAAGCCTGAAAATATTTTATTAGATGTATCAGACAATGTAAAAATCTGTGATTTTGGTTGGTCTGCTGAAAATCTAGGATCAGTTAAAAGAAATACTTTTTGTGGAACTATAGATTATATGGCTCCAGAAATGATTGAAGATAAACCTCATGATTAGACTCTTGATATATGGTGTTTAGGTATTTTATTATATGAACTTTTACATGGATATGCACCTTTTGATGGTAAAAATGATATAGAAAAATGTTAGAATATTGTTAAAGTCCATTATAAAATGGATGGTTCATTAACTAAGGAAGCAAAACATTTAATTTAAAACTTAATTACTTATAAATAATAAGATAGACTTAGTCTATCATTGATTTTAAATCACAAATGGTTTAAGTTAAATTAACAGAATAATTTGAATCCAGTAAAACATGCACGAACAAAAACTCATAATGCTTATTCAATCCATTCTTAACACCAATTTATTAACAAATCAACTGCATCATCATAATCATCATTGATAAGATAATAAATAATAACTCACGAAACTTAAAATGATACATCTATTGAAATGAATATTAAGAGATTTAGTAGAAACTCTGATTCCCAAAGAAAATAAATTAGATCATAAACTTAATAATCAATTAATAATGAATCCTTTATGCATAAAGTTCTTGTAGCTTTAGGTTGTGTTAAAAGAGAGCAATCTTAAAATAAAAATTATTGAATATACTAATTTATTTATATCATTTAATATTTCAGAATTTAAAATCATGTTAATAGTTATTTTCCCTTATTATTATTAGATACTTTTCAATGAATCATACCTTAATTAATTAAGCAACTATATTTTAAATATTTTTATTATGTCTAAATTGACTTTAAAGAATTTTTTACAACAATAATGATTGTGTAATTTGCTTATTTGAGAAGTTTTATTGAATGGAGTTTGTTTTTATTTTTTGGGATTGTATGTAGAATTTAGTAGTTTTATTATAATTACAATTTACAATAAGCTATAGAATTTCCACATTTTTTTATTAAATACAAATGGATATTAAGCATCAATTTAATCTATCATTTAACTAAACTATATTAAGGAAACATAATTTTATAAATGGTTTTATTATTATATATATTGTTATGTAATTTTATGGTTTACTTCCTGCTCCAAATCCATTAGTATAAGCAGCTGATCCTGAAATTAAATAAAAAATGTATAAATCTAAATGAATAAGTGGATGGATAAGAAAGAAAGATGCTTATGATGAAAAATTTTCAGCATTTAACATGTGGGATTATTTTAGTGATAATAAAGTTAATCTAATTTATTAGCGTTTTGATAATTATCCATGGTCAATGATTCCACTAAATAATAATCGATTTGCTGCTTCATGTTTCTTTGATTGCAAAAAACTAATGGCTTTAAATAGGGAGATAAGATTATCAGAATTTACATTGGTTTTAAACAAATATTTGTATCCAACTACAATGAAATAAAAAGAATAAAAACAACTTTCTTTAGAGTAAGATAGTAAAAAATATAATGGACTTAAATTTGATTCCAATTTCGAAAGTGGAAACTTATTTACATCATATAAAGTTGGTCCAAATGAATATGATTTAATGATGTAAAATGACACAAATACAAAAGGAAATACTTAATGGTTTTATTTCTCAGTTGAAAACACAATAAAAAATTGCATAGTTACTTTTAATATCATAAATTTTGTAACTTAAATATTTTTATCAAGCTATGTAGATAAAATGTGATTCATTATTTAATATGGGATAAAAACCAGTTATTTTTTCAACAAAAAGTAATAAAATAAGAGGAACAGGATGGATAAAGGGAGGACATAATATAATTTACTTTAGAAATAAATTTAAACGAGAGAATAGTTCATTTAAAACTTATAATACACTGTCTTTTAGTTATAAATTCGAACATTCTAATGATAAAGTTTATTTTGCTTAATGTTATCCATATACCTATTCTTAATTAAATAATTTTATAGAAAGATCAATTAAACCAAATAAAGTATAAAAATGATTAAATTAGTTTGCTATAATAAAGGAGTTATGCAAAACAATATCTAAATTGTCATGTCCATTAATTACTATAGGAAATGGCAAAAAAGCTATAATATTGATGGCTAGATAGCATCCCGGTGAAACACCTGGTTCTTTTACTATTGAAGGAGCAATTGAATTTTTATTAAGTAATTGTATGGAAGCAGAAATTTTAAGAAATAATTTTACTTTTTATATAATTCCTATGATAAATCCAGATGGAGTTGTTTTTGGAAATTATAGATGTAATCTTTATGGGACTGATCTCAATAGAATTTGGATTAATCCACATAAAGAATTACATGATTCTGTTTGGCATGTAAGAGAATTAATTAGATAAATAAATTAAACAGCAGAATTATGTTTAATTATAGATTTTCATGGACATTCAAAAAAGTAAAATTTATTTATAATTATAGATTTAATAGTTTCTTTTATGCTAATAGTTTTTGTGATGAATAAAAATTATTACCCTTAATAAGTTGTAATCTCTCTAAAATGATGAATTTAAAAGATTGCTCTTTTAGTATTCATGAAAGTAAAAAGAAAACAGCAAGAGTAGCTTTATAATAGGAAGTTAAAAATGGATTTACATATACAATAGAAATTTCTTTTCATGCTTTTCGAAAAGAAATCTTGTAAGATTTTACTGAAAATTCATATAAATAAATAGGTGAAGATGTTTCGCTAGCAATATATAAATTATTTGAAAATTAAATGGTAAACTGCAGCAAATTGCCGAGAGCTTTAACAATATCATAAAATGAGGAACTAGATAAATTAATTAAAGATTGTGATCTAAGCTAACTTTAAATAGGTGAGGATGATTCAGAAAGTGATTCAAATCCAGAAGAAGATATGTTATTGGAATAGGAAGTTTAATCATTTTTTGATTTTAAAAAGTAAAATAAAATAATAATATCTGCTAAAAAAAAGATTAATAAATAAGAGAAATCATCGTAAACTGATATTTAACATTATTAAAATCTTATGTTAGATGAAAAGGTTTTGTAAAGAATTGAAGAATAGGTAAAATTAATAAGAAAAACTAATCCTGAATCTCTTGAATTTCAAAGCATTTAAGATCTTTATTCCAATTATAATGATGTTCCATTATAAGATGGATTTTAAAACTCATTTTAATAAACTGACATTTCTTTATAATAAATTTTAGGCAAAATGTAAGTTTATCATGTTAGAGTTTCTAATAAGTATAATATTTGTTATATTTAGAAATTCTATGTATTAAAATTAATTTGCTACTCAAACTAGTAAACCAGTTGTAATAGTTCTTAAAAATCCATATTCAAAACAATAAATACAATAATAACAATAATAGTCATCACCACAACACTAAGAAATATTTTCTAATAAAAATAGAAGGAGAATAAAATCCATAAATGAAAGATCTTCTATGGAATATAAACGATTATCTAATGAGAGAAAATATAGTATTTAATAATATACTTAAGAGAAAAATCATGCTATTAGTTTCACTTAATAGCAAGCTACTCCTAAAAATTTGTTAACTCAAGATGCTACTTTTGAAAAAATTGCAAATATAAGTAAACTCAAGTTTTATGATAAATAAATGCTTAAAAATTTGTTTTGATTATATATTAATTTATCAAAAATGGGATTAATATCATACTATTGTCTTATTGTCGTAGTTTTTATAGCTCTGATAATTTATGATTTATTGTTTTATACAACCTATACATATGATATTTGCCCTCCTATTGAATACACAAGTGCTCGTTTACTTTTTCAGAATCCTAATTCAGCATTTGATTATGTAAACAATTCTATAGCATACCAAACTACCACTGATAACACTACTACCACTGATAACACTACTACTACTGATAACAATACTGCGACTGATAATTCTACTGCAACTGATACTACTACTAATTCAAATGTTAGTGATACTTCTATGGCAAATAAATTAGTAATTTTATTTAAATAAATTAGGTATCAATTCCATTTATTATTATCTTATTATATTGTGGTGTTATTGGTTTAATTTTTTTAGCAATGCTCGGTATTTATTGTTTTGGTAAAATGCCGAGTGAAAGATTTGGAAATTTAAGTAGTTTTTTATAATTATTCTGGAGATATATGTTGGGCTTGTTTAGGTATATATGTTAGAAATTTTGCTGTCTTAACCAGACTTCTTTCTTGGGTTGGATTATTATTAATGGCAATCTAAGCAATAATTACCATTACTGATGAAGAATGTTAAAGTGCCACTCATGAATACAAATAAAATAGAAAAATTTATTATTAGGTAACTCTCTATTTATTTTGAGGAAGGAGCTATGTACGATTCCTCAATATTGTTAATATTTGTAAATATATGTTTTTGGGGAGCTACTCATTGTATTATACCATCTTTAAAGCTTTTTATTGACTCAGAATCATTTCTATACGAACCTTTTGATAGAAGCAAAGGTTTAGCATACTGGTTCTGCTGTATAATGTTAGGGCCATGAATATTCTTAACATATTCTTAAAAATGATTATCTAATTTTATCTAATCATTAAGATTTCTTAACAATTTAATTTAGAAAATCTTTATTCTTCCAAAGATTAATCAATTTTTATGATAACAGATTATTTTATATTAATTACAAATTATCTCATTTAAATAAACTTCAATAAAATTGTGAAAAATAATTTATAAAAAAGTAAATACTAAATTTTTATTGTATTTATTATTAAATATTTGTAAAAATCATCTATTATATATAAAATATCAACTTATTTAAAAATATAAACTACAGCTATTTCTAATATTACTTTTACGAAAAGGAAGAGATTTCAAAATCATGATGAACGAGGATATGATTTAAAAATTTTATTAATATATTTATTGAAATAAATTTTTTATTTAACAGAAAACAAAAATATTCAATCAAGAATCGTTTTCTAAAAAACTTTTCAAATTCAATAAATATAATATTAAAACTTATTTTTAAACTTATAACATTATGAATAAAACATAATTTATTCAAATTTATTCAAGCTTGAAACAAATTTATATAGCCTATATATTAAAATTGAAAATTATAATACAAAAATGTTTAAATATTTTAATTTTGTATTTTTCAATTTACAAGCCTTTATCATACTTTGGTATGCTATCGAAATTTAACACATTAAATAAGCTTATAGTAAGTATAAAAATAAGGTGTAATAGATTGGATTTGCTATTTGTTTTTTTCTCATTAATTATTATTTTGTAGTAATATCTTTAAAATCGTATTTGCTCTTTTTTAAATCTATATAAAAATAAAGATCTAATACAAGACTTATTAGATTAAGTATTAAAATTTTTTTAGTTCTAATTTAATAGATTAATTTGCTTGATTTTTCATTGTCAGAATAATCTTTTTATTTATTAATCTTCTTTTTTTTTGAAAAATGTTGGGATATCAATTTTTAACTTGTCTATGAAATTGGATGTCTTATGTTTGTTTTAGTAACAAGTTGTCTTTGTAATATATTTATTTGATATTTAATTTGATAAATCATCTTAAGAAAAGTCTAGTTAAAAGTCTTATTATTTTGAAAATTAGTTTATTAATAAGAATATTCATAATATAAACTAAAATTTGACTATTTAAAAATATAGAAAAATTTTTATAGAAAAGAAATTTTGATTATTAGTCAGATATTTAATATGTCATTTTTGCCTCTATTTCTATTATCATACATACTAATTTTCTATTTAAATATCAAAAGAATAGTAATCAAAATTTTACATTAATTAAATGATTGAATTATTACTCCTCCTCTATATCGTGGTGTATTGTCCTTTGATAATCTACGTTTATTCAACCTTATTAAAGAAATACGAAGATCCAAAATACCATAGAACAGATATTCCAGATAGATTCTAACCATTTAGAAGAAGAGATTACAAGAATTGGAACAAATTAGAGATCTATTTTGGTGCAATAGTATTGTTACCTCTTAGATTAATATTTGTGTTGGGGTCTCTGTTTGCCTTTGCATTTGTTTTTTTTGTGACAACTAAAGGTTCATAAATTGTGATATAATTTTAAAAGACTTTAAACTAGAAAACCCATGGCCTGCTAATCGTTATAGATTTTTGAGATAACCTCTTTAATTTTTGGCTAGAGCTTACCTATTTTTTTCTGGCTTTTATTAAATTAAGTAGAGAATTGTGAAGTAATAAAAATTAATAATTTTTAGGTATTCTGATTATGATGAAGCCTATGTTTAAACTTCAATTAATAATCTAAGTTAACCATCAATAATTGTATCAAATCATGTCAGCTGGTATGACACAATTACATATGTTTTCAAATATTTGCCATCTTTTGTTTCTAAAGACACAGTAAAGGACTACCCAGTTTTTGGTTGGATTACAATGAATCTAAAAAGTATATTTGTTGAAAGGGAAAATGCAACAAATAGAAAATAAGTTATGCTTGACATTTTGAATAGAGTGAACTTAATAAATTAAGGACATCTATTCCCTCCAGTTCTTATATTTCCTGAAGGAACAACGTCTAATGGAAACTATATTTTATCATTCAAGAAAGGTGCATTTGAACCATTATAACCAATTAAAATTTGCTGTTTAAAATATTCACCAAGAAGATTTAGTGTAGCTATGGATTGTATAGGAATTTATGGTATTATATTTCACAAATCTTAGCAACTACTTTGTTGTCTTTAGTTTAATGGAAAAATGAATTAGAAATAATTGAATTCGAAGGATTATATGATCCTGCATATTNTAACAAGTTGTCTTTGTAATATATTTATTTGATATTTAATTTGATAAATCATCTTAAGAAAAGTCTAGTTAAAAGTCTTATTATTTTGAAAATTAGTTTATTAATAAGAATATTCATAATATAAACTAAAATTTGACTATTTAAAAATATAGAAAAATTTTTATAGAAAAGAAATTTTGATTATTAGTCAGATATTTAATATGTCATTTTTGCCTCTATTTCTATTATCATACATACTAATTTTCTATTTAAATATCAAAAGAATAGTAATCAAAATTTTACATTAATTAAATGATTGAATTATTACTCCTCCTCTATATCGTGGTGTATTGTCCTTTGATAATCTACGTTTATTCAACCTTATTAAAGAAATACGAAGATCCAAAATACCATAGAACAGATATTCCAGATAGATTCTAACCATTTAGAAGAAGAGATTACAAGAATTGGAACAAATTAGAGATCTATTTTGGTGCAATAGTATTGTTACCTCTTAGATTAATATTTGTGTTGGGGTCTCTGTTTGCCTTTGCATTTGTTTTTTTTGTGACAACTAAAGGTTCATAAATTGTGATATAATTTTAAAAGACTTTAAACTAGAAAACCCATGGCCTGCTAATCGTTATAGATTTTTGAGATAACCTCTTTAATTTTTGGCTAGAGCTTACCTATTTTTTTCTGGCTTTTATTAAATTAAGTAGAGAATTGTGAAGTAATAAAAATTAATAATTTTTAGGTATTCTGATTATGATGAAGCCTATGTTTAAACTTCAATTAATAATCTAAGTTAACCATCAATAATTGTATCAAATCATGTCAGCTGGTATGACACAATTACATATGTTTTCAAATATTTGCCATCTTTTGTTTCTAAAGACACAGTAAAGGACTACCCAGTTTTTGGTTGGATTACAATGAATCTAAAAAGTATATTTGTTGAAAGGGAAAATGCAACAAATAGAAAATAAGTTATGCTTGACATTTTGAATAGAGTGAACTTAATAAATTAAGGACATCTATTCCCTCCAGTTCTTATATTTCCTGAAGGAACAACGTCTAATGGAAACTATATTTTATCATTCAAGAAAGGTGCATTTGAACCATTATAACCAATTAAAATTTGCTGTTTAAAATATTCACCAAGAAGATTTAGTGTAGCTATGGATTGTATAGGAATTTATGGTATTATATTTCACAAATCTTAGCAACTACTTTGTTGTCTTTAGTTTAATGGAAAAATGAATTAGAAATAATTGAATTCGAAGGATTATATGATCCTGCATATTTAAAATTAGAATAATATCCTGAGGAAAAAAGAGTAAAAATTATTATTTAAATTATTAGTGGGAGATATATGCAGAAAAAGTGAAAGACATAATGAGTAAATGTCTTGAACTTGAAAAATCTAACTCTGGATTTAGAGAAGAACACGATTATGAAGTTGAAATTTTAGGGGAAAAGAAAAAAAAGTCAACATAAATTACAAAATAGTCAAATTAAACAGATGATAAATAAAAGGTTGAATGATCAATTTAAACTACAACTAATTAGTCTACATAATTTTATTTTTTATCATATAATATTTTCTGTTTAAAATTAATTAATATATTAAGTTAAATTTCAAAATGGGAAATACCATGGTTTTAGAAAGTGAAGATTTTACATAATACAATTTAAGTTTGTTGAAAGATAACCTTACTTATGTAGGCTCTAAATAACATAAGTATTTGGGCTAAATCCAATTATGGAAGAATAAGTAAGATCCTTAAGAGTGGATATTTTCTAAAGTATTTATACTCTATAGCAATATAGATTACCTAAATAGATGTTGATCAAAATTTTATTAATTCTTAGCATAATTAACGACTATTAATAAAACATGAAAATTTATTGAAATATTATGGATGTACCATTAAAGAGTAGACATTTTAAGGAACAATCAAGGAATATAGAATTTATTATGAATTTTTATCAACCAATTTATCAAGGGTTCTTTAAGATCATTAATCTAATGGATAATATATTAAGGAAACATTTATCTGGAAAGTATTAAAAATGATTGAATTAGTTAATCAATTAAATTTCTACTGTATTTAGCTATCTTGATAGTTAGAATAAGTTTCACTCAAATATCAATTTAGATAGTCTCTTTTTTGATTAAGCAAATAATTTAAAAATTTTGGTAAAACCCAAATTAAAAATAGTATCATGGTGCTCTACCAAATTTATTATCAAGTTATGCATAAACTTTAGGAAGTTATAATTCTAATGTTTCTTTAAGTCCTTAATAAATGAATGATTATTAAAATCATTTGGCTTAGCTTAAAATAAATCCTTATAAGTAAGATTCATATCAATTTGGAATTGTTTTGGTGTCTCTAATGAGTGGTAAAGGTAAAAATATTGATTTTATAAAATTAATTTTCAGACGTAACAAAGTACACAGATTTTTATAAGGAAGTAATCCATTATAAGTAAATATTAAATATTTTGGGATCAGCTATTCATCATTATTCTTAATCTTTAGTAAACATAGTGATCAATTTATTATAATATGATGATTCATTAAGGCCTAACATTTCTTAAATACTCAAAGGAAAAATCTACAAGTAACCGTCATTCTAAAATTAACCATAATAATATAATTTCCAAAATTTAAATTTATATAGAATAGATTCAAAACAATCTTTTTCTACTTAAAATGATAGATTTCTTTATTCACATTAATACTTCAAGACTGTACCAAATCAACAAGTTCCTTAGATACCATAAAGCACAATTTAATACTCTTCCCCGTTAAAATTATCAAAAAGATCATCAAATGAATGCATTAAATAATTATCATTTACTGATGTATACTTTACTCCTAAAACAAAATAATCAAGAAGCATTTCTTATAGATATTTATCAGGTAGAACGTTTAGTAAAATTTAATCACCTTATATAAAATGATTATTTGAAATAATATATACTGAATATTATAATATTGTTCAATATTTTTAATATTTATTGTTTGTATTGGTAACAGTTGTGGTTTTGTACTCTGTTACAGGTTTAGTTTCAATTTTGCTTTTGAATTCAGTGAATTCTTTTTGATAAGTTTCAGGAAGATATTTAGATCCTCGCTGCAATTAAGAAGCAGATAAATTGTTTTAGAGTTGAGAATTTCTCACTTCTAAATTCTAGTTAACTTTTTAATTAATCTAATTTAATTTAGTGCTAATAGACTCTCTAGGATTAAGAGGGTCTTAAAGAGAAGAATATTCATAAACATCTGTTTTTCCGTTGACTGTGGATACTACTTATTTTTTGACTTCAGTTGGTTTGTTAGTTCCTTTTGTTTCTACAGTATATGTTGTTGTTTTTTAATAATTAGATGTTTAAGGTTAGAGCTATTATTAATATTACATTTATGGTAATTAATATGTGTTAGGTCCAGTTGATGGTAATTTAGATGGTTAGAATGACTATTATTATTAATTAAGCTAATCTTCTAGTATGGCAATTTATTATTGCTATTGTTATAATTTATTAGAAAGAGTATTCATCTTATATTTCAATTCCTCATTTTCATGATTTAAATCATCAATATGTGCATTCAGTTAATCTATTTCATTAGGGTTCCCTTATTATTAGTTTGATTTTTCGAGTTCTTTTTATAATCTTACTACTTCATCACATTGTTTTTAATAACGATTAACATATTCAAGTTTTTATAATCTCTCATCCTTCAATTCTTTATGTACTTAATTTAATACAGTTTCTAATTCTCCTAATTATTAATCTTTCATTTATTTAACTTAATCTAACTTCTATCTTTCCAATTACAATTTTTAGATTAAATCTTCATTACCTTAACTATTTTACTTTTATATATTTATATAAATATAATACCTAATTTTATTTAGCATATTAGAATTCTTATTACAAATACAATACTTCCTAGTTTTTTACTCTAAGGGCTTCTGTCATTCGTTACAATTCTTATGTTAGTATTCTCATTCTCTCTATACATCCAGTATGTCTCTCATTACTTTAAATAACTTCTTGTTTTTGAGGAGATTAGAATGGTTAATTCATAGATGCTCTTACATTATTTTCTTTTATTACTGAATTTCTTTTCTCTTATTAATAATTCATTTATTAATTTAAAATTATTATAATAAAAAAAAGAAAACTTTCAAATTGTAATCAAATTCCAGTTGTATGTTACAAAATATATGTAAAAATAGCCATTAAATCTTTTTTATCTATTTTTTTATCTCTGTATATGTCAAATATTTCAATTAAAATTACTTAATCTTATTTATCTAATTTTTAATAACCCAAAGATTCCATTAATTAACTCATTTTATTCAGATCAAGAATTTCATTCTGATCACAAAGTAAATTTAAACATTCTTACAAAGGATCATAATCTGTAATTGGCTCCCCATTCCATAATTCATAAATATCCTTTGCACTCACTTCTTACTTTCCTTAAAATACTGTATTAATAAGTGAAATATCAGCATTAGGATTACATAATTCTATTTTAAAATAACTTTTTACACATTCTTTTTTTTAAATCTTACACAGATATTTTACCATTTTAAGTTCCAGGAACTTTCTTTAAAATTCTCTCCATTTCACCTTGATCAAAATATACATTATCATGATGTTTACCAAATATTTTATAATCTAAAACAATTAATTAGATTTAACCTAATACTCCAGTTCCTTGAAGTTGACTGATATATTTTTTCAATTAAATTGCAGACTACCTTTTTGCATTTCCCTATTATTATGGCTATTGCTACATTGTTTATTTATTAGGCTGATTCATCTAATAAAATTATATTTATAAATAATTATTGATTTTATAAATAATTATTGGTAAGAGGATATTTAAATAATTATTAAGATAAATCTTTTTATTTTAATAAGTATAAAAAACTATTTAACAGGTAAAGATATAGTTGTTATATGATCAGAAAATTTGGCAACAGTGATTTCTATTTTTAGGCATACTATCATTGTCAATAATACCTTAATATCTTAAATATTTAAATCCATTATTAGAAAATGGTTCTAATATTCTATTAATGGTTTATATCATTTCTAAAACTTTATAATCAATTTCTAAGATTTCTTCCTTCAATGTTTAGATGATTTTTTTCTTTAAATCATTTGTCATATTGAAAGTTAATGATATTCTAAGATAAAATAGTATTAAATACTATAATTCATATTAAATTGGTTAATTTGATTCCTCTAGAAATTTAAGATGTAAGATTTAATTATATTGATTTTGTTTTATATTTACACAGTTATTTCCAATTTACTAATGATATAACAATAATGATACATAGATCATATCAACAGTTGTAGCTTAAAGCATTTTATTGTTATTAGAATATAATACAAATTTTAACTTATTTTAGACCTCAAACAGACAAGAATGCCATTAATTAGGGTATAATTTTTGATCATTTAAATACAATTGATAATTATCGTCATTAGGTTGATTGAGTATAAGAATTTCATAAAGTTCTTATAGATTTAAGGATTGCTACATAATTTCTATATTTTCAATAATATCTATGTTATTTTTAAAATTATTGATGAGTTCATCTAATTGGAGTATTTTAAGATGTTTTAGTTTAATGCTGTCTATTATTTCTTCAACAAACATGTTGGCTGTAAATTCAACTGAAACAGAAGATCTCTAAAATGATAATAAATAAAACATTAGTTAAAGGAGTTAAGAAGCCTTCTCTTATATTGTTTTAACACTCTTTAATGACTTCTTTTAATGGATGATCTTTAGTTAGTTTTTTAATAAAGGAAACATTTTCATTAATAGGGTCATTATATTCAATGTTCTGTGTTTTAAGTGAGAGCAAAAGACTTAATTTTTTCAAATTAATTTCTTATACTTTAGGTGATAAGAAATCTAGTTCCATAAAATAATTAATAATATTAAAGTGATAAATAAATTTCAATCTCTTTGTTAATTTAAATAATCTCTGGCACTTTTATCTCTGCCATGATATCCTCTAGTTTATGATTATCGTTAATCTCCATTTCTATTACTATTATAATAACGATTGTATGGATTAAAATTGAAATTGTTTTCATCATTTGAACTTGATCCTTATCTATTTGGTCTTCTTCTTCTTCTTCTTTCTTTAATATCTTCTAAAATTTTAGTATATTTTTCTATTTATTCATCATAATCTTCGTCATCATCATCATCATCACTTTCTGGTTCTTATATATAATTAGTTGAAGTAGGTTAAAGAACTCTATTGTTATATAAATTATCAGGATTATATATTGGATTACCCATATCATCTGTAATAAATTAATTTTATGGATTAGGATATTTAATTTCTTATTGATAAGGTTTAGGTATCATAACTTCATAAGGAATTTCAACAGGAATTGGTACTTTCTCTAAAAAATAATTTAATTAATTTATACCTATGATTGTTTAAACAGGAATATATTCTACTATAGTTCTTTCTATAGGAACTATTTCTTCAATTTCTTATTCTTCCATTTTGACTATTTATTTTTTTTATGGTATATAATTAACTTTTCTTTCTACTTAAGCAGGTTAGGTTATTTAAAATGGAGGTGGTTAAACAACTTATTATTGATATTAAATTTATGGTTAAGATTAAATTAAATTTTAAACAACTAATGGCTGTTATTAATAATTTATCAAATGCTGTGATATTTATCCCTAATTTAAATTATGGATTGGCATTGAATATTAAAATGGCATTTATCCATTATATTATACATTACCTGGATAAGGTAAAGGCATAAATGTTTATTAAGAATTTTATGATTAAATTCCAAAATTCGGTTGAATCATTCCTTATCCCATTTATATATTTTAATTTACTCCAGCACTTAATCTTGGAACTTACAATTAACCTTATAGACTTTATGCTAACATTTTAATTCAATTATTAAATAAATTATTACCTTTTTGACAGTTAAATGTTTTTTCATAAGCAATTCATTAAATACAAGTTAAAATAGTCTAATGTTCTAAGCCACTGAATTATAGATTCAGGTTTTAAAGAATAATACATTAAGAAATTGTCTATTATAGAAAAACAGGCTCTTTTTAAGAAATAATACAATAAAATTTATAGATAATCAAGGATCATCTTCAACTAAAATCAATAAAGCATTATTAATTTTATCTATATCTATCTTAAGCTACTAGATAATAAAAATCCCTATTAATAAATTGTTACAGATAGACTTTCTATCACTAAATTAAATAATAAAAGCTTTAAAAGTCTAATTGTTACTACATTTTATTCTTTGAGTTATTAAATTTATTATATACAATGTTTTATTCAATTGTAATTTCAATATATTAAATCTTGAAAGACTTAAATGTTTTATAAATTAATATTGCTTTGACTTTAAGAAAAGAAATGAATATAATAAGATGATAAGATCCATATAATCTATATTAAAAATAAAAAGAGAATTGAATGCATATTGAAATAAGAAAATAATCTATTATATCTGATGAGTAACAATTTATTAGTATTAATATAAATATTTAATGTACATAATAAATAAAATATTGATCATGCTTCTTAATTTATTTGAAGTCTTTCACACAAATCTTTAAGGTATGTAATATTTTAATTAATTCTTGAGTTTTTATCCTTAATAATTGAGCATGCTACAACATTTCTACTAGTACCACACATTCTGCCTAAGTCAACTTTGCTCTTAACAAATACATATGGGACATTCTATTATGACTAAATAATTCGAATACCTTATCCTCACATAATAATGGTAAATGAAGAACGATTTCCAATGGAGTTGTATCAGCAGCAATTATAACTAATTCTGCAATACCTCTATTTAAGGTTTTGGTTGTTTCATTGGCACCTTTTTTTAACTTTTAATTGTTATGAATATTACTTATTTTAAGGCAGCTGCTTATTAAGCAAGTTCTAGAATTTAAGGTTCTACTTCTTCATTAGCTAAAGGCTGGGCTCTCTCAGGGTATTCACTTTACTATTTCTATAGGCATACTAATTACCATTAGTTATTATGTTTACAAAATATTAAATGTTAATTAAATGTTTAATTTATATTCGCTATATATAATCAATCAATATTTTCTTTATTTAGAAAGTCATTCTAATTATATGAATAGATGTCTATGTTTCTAATAAATATTCAGAAATATTATTAAAATAATATTATGAATTCTATAATTTTAATATTAGCTAGCAGATAAGAATATATATTTCACCTTTAAATATTGGAGGCTCAGATTAATTCAATGACTAGTAATGACCGATCAATTTTGGTCTAAAAATTATAATATAAGATTCTAAAAGTAGAATAGAAAAGAATTTAAATAGAATCACAAACTTTATTGAATTATTCTGAGCCAAGAAAAATTTTATAGAAGCTTGTGAAAAAATATATTAAAATCCAAGGTTATTATTACTAAAAATTGCAAGTATTAAGACATGTAAATAGTTATACTTCCCAATATTCAGTTAAAGAAAATAATTTTTACCAATGCAGAGAAACTAATTATTTAAAATAGCAAGCAATACTACTATGAGTTCTACTGAAATCATACAAATAATTATCAATCTATAAAAAGAAAGGTTAGTTCATTAAATTGATTCTTTAGTTAAATCCATAAATAGAAATGAAGCCATTTAGTATTCTAATTTATATAAATTTAGAACTGATTTAATTACAAATAGAAATGAGAAGTTCTGTTAAGATCCAATTTAGAGTTTGGATTACTTAAATCATATTCATTTAACTTATTATTTGATAAATAAACCAACTTCAAAAAATGATCCTTATGATATAATGAATTTAGATGAATAAACAAAAGAATATTTAACATCAGGTTTTAAAAGTTATGTTTGTTGTTTAACAAAGACTAAAAATGTATTTATTCCAATTGAAACAACTTAAGAAATTACTTTATTTAGATATGAAAAATATTAAAAAATTTTAAATGAATAAAATTATGCTCTCAATAAAAGAATTACCAAATTTTACTTTAAAAATTATCAATAAATTTAATCAACCCTTGAAAAATAAATAATATGTTCAGTGCATCGTTTGCCAATAAGATAACAATAAAAATAAAATAAAAGGAATATTTTTCACAAAATGAGATTAAGTAAATAAGAAAACGAAGGTAGAAATTCTAGAACTTTTTAAGATGGATTTTAAACTGATAAAGAACCATATATAGGTAATTCAGTAGGAATGGAATCATAAGGTGAAATATTAACACATTTAAAGAATATTGTACTTTCTTCATCAAAAACAAGAGAATAGAAAAGCATTAATGAAAATAAAAAATTTATTCTTCGAGAAAGTTTTATAAGATATGAACAAGAATAGATTTAAAGTTAATTAGTCTTATGTGGTAAATCAATGAAATTTCCTAATAATGATTAAGAGAAAAAAAGAATCTTTAGTAACATCTTTGAAAACAAAGATCATGTTCATAATGCTTCTAAAGATAAATCTGGAGAATAAGTTTCAACAAAAAATTAAAAATTCTAAAAATTAGGTTTGAGTAATAAATATCATTTAATAAAAATAAAACAAAATTGTAGTCAACTTAAATTATAACAATTATAGATTTAAAATTGATTAATGTAATTTATGTGATAATATTGTTTAACTTAAGATATATTAGTTAAATGAAATATTTATTTTAAAGTTGAAATATTATAGATAAATATAATATTTATATATGAATTTTAATAATTAAAATGTAAAACCTAAATAGGCGGTTTTACTATAATTATCATGATAAATTGATTAAAAATGGTAAATTAGAATTGATATTGGCATAATTTATATGCTGTTATTTATTTTCAATTATTATGCTAAATTTATTTAAATTAATTCTTTATGTTTTAATAAAACCATAATTGATTACATTTAATAAAAAGAGCAATAGAGATTTAGTATATTCATTAAAATTAATTTTAAAATAAAAATTATATTAATATATGAGCATATTGAATAACTAATCAATTTTTTATATTTTTGAGGGTTGGGTCTTAGAATTTGGGACATTTCATTGTTTATTGAAGAAGTATAAGTTATTATGTAAGATAAATAATAAATAGAAAATTAATAAGATAACAAATTGATATTCACCTCCTAAAATAATTTATTGTCAAATACTTATTAGAAAAGACTTAAAAGAAATCTCTATTAGAGATGGAATAAAATTAATTCATTTGGATTTCTTAGTTGAAGGAAAACTCAGAAATTATAATGTACTCTTTTTTATGAGTCTTTCAAATCAAAGGATTACATAGCTTAATATTTTTGCGCAGAAAAACATAATTTTTTTAAAGAATGCTTAATTAGATGGTTATTGATACGTTCGAATAAAAAAGGTAGTTCCTTAATGTTTATAACAATCAAAGCCATAAGATCTAATTAAATGAATAGTTTTAATTATCAGCTTTTTATTCTCATGAATATAATTTTATAAATAATTATCGAGAATATTAATCTCTATATATTCTAACAATAAAATTAAGAAAATCTAATAGAAGTTAAAAAGGATAATGATTTAATTTAAATAATGTTATGTATTTAATGAAAGAGGATTAAAAAATTGTAAGAAATACTTTTAATTGGATTGATAAATTGTTAAGTTTTAAAAGTATTGATGATATGAATTAGATTAATAATAGTAATTTATGATAGTAGGAATCTGTATAGTTAGATAGCAAATATAAATCTGTTCATTTAGAATAGTTTCAGTAGATTGAATATATATATATATATTTTATCATTTTAATAAGGTAATTCATTACTTGATTTGAATATAGATGTACAAGTAATTTAAAACAAAGAAATAAATTTTAGTAAATGCTTAATTGGACTTTGAATAAGAAATATAAAATATTTTAGCACAAAATTTATTCATTCAAACTTGCGTGAGCCTTTTCTCTCAATTTCTCTTTCAACAAAACTTATAAAAGTAAATTAAATATTCTCGCTTTATGTTCTTTATCTAGCCATCTTCATAGGACTTGGAGTAAGTTATTAATCTAGCCAAACAACAGGAGTTTTACCATCTTCTTCAACTTCTTAGATTACAGTATTAGGATCGCAGTATATTTTTGTTTTAATTTAAGGCTATGAGATTATAGAGTTTGTGTTTACTATGTCTGTCTAAGCATCACTAAGCAAATCTAGATCATCCATACCAACATCTGGTTCTTATTTTGGTTTTAAACATGGTTTTTTTGGTGCCTTTTCAAAAGTATTTACATATTCTTCATAAGTCATAGAAGAGTTCAATCTCTTACGTTATTCTTCCATAATTTTTATTTTTGTTATTTATAAAGATCTTATTTTATTTATTATTAGGTAATTAGTCTTGTGTTTTGATTTATATAACCAATATTACACTGCAAATTAATTTAAATAGAGAATGATTTTGATTAAAAGCAAAAGGAAAAATGAATAATCAATTTGAAAGTTAGGATTAAATAGAAAATATTGTATACTAAAAGGTAAGTCATCTTATTAACAAGAATGAAAATAGATAATAAAATTAACTTGAATAGAAATCTAATAATATTTACAAATAGAAAAAAGGATTTAAGTTTTTTAAAATGATAAGAGATATATTATAATTTTATATGTGACAATTACCTGATTAAGTAATCAATTATTTTAGTGTATTAAGAATAGTAGTATAATATTTAATAATACTATAGATTGCTATATTAGAAAGAATTAATAATTAAAATAGAAATAAAATAGAAATAAAAGAGGAGATAAATATAATTGAAAATAAAATAGTTTTAAATAAATTGAAAAACAAAAAGATTGATTTTATTTTAAAGAGAATACGAAAGAATAATACTTATTTTTAGATTGAATTGTTTTATTAATAAGTGATGATTATATTTAAAATGTAAGTTGTATATTTGAGATGTAAATTGTAAGTTGATAATTTTAATGAGTTGTTAAAGAAGAGAGAATAAGAATGCAAATTTTATAAACTTTTATGGTTAAGAGAGAATAGTATATAAAAAAATATATTGAAGTGAGAGAATAGGAAATTTATTATGGTGAAATGAAATATAATTATATTTTTAAACTTAGATTTTGATTAAATAATGCATATTTTAATTTTAATTCTATGTAAGTGTTGTGGAAGAGATATTAAAATAAGATAATAAAATATAATCTAATGAGTTTTCAAAGGATTGGAATAAATGAAAATAAAAACAATGATAATACATGTTCTATCTCTAAGAAGGATAAAAAAGAAGCAAAAGCCGAGAGTTCTATGTTATAGTTCTTGCAAAAAAATATGGCCAAAAATAAGGGTACATTTTTAAATACTTATTATTAAAAGGTTTATATGAAGACTCATTAACGATAAATGGCATAGAATAATTTGAAAATTATAAAAAGATGGTTAAACTTGAATAGAGAAGAGAATCAACCATTGTCATATCAAGAATCTTATTTAAAGGATCTTTGAGATAAAGGTTTGAAAGACTTACTAGTATCAATACTATACCATAATTGATGATAATTCCTAAATACTAATTATTTTGTAAGATGTTCATTAATTTAAATACCATTTTATTCAATTAAACTTTAGCATTTTAAGAAATAGTTATTTAATTTAAATAGGATTATTAAATAGAATTTAAGGTATAATTCTTACAGCAATTCTTATCAATTTGGAATGATGTTTTTCATTTAAATTGGAAATAATATGAAAATAATAAACTTAGTTTAGAAGTAGCCATTACACATTAATAGTTTTAATCAAATGATGATAAAATTCAAATATTTTAATAGAAATTATTGAATTATCTTTAAACTAAAGGAGAATATATAGAATTATATCCATTACCAAAGATGGAAGATATGTATCAAGAATATAAATGTTAATATTAAGAATCAAAAATTACACATATTATAATAAAAGATAAATAACATTTATAAAATAATAACAATTAATAAGATAATAATCAATTAAAATATATTGCAATTGAATTATAATAGTATTTTAATATCAGAGATGTGTCCAATATGTATTTGATCAATGTTGAAAAATATTTAATTAAAAAATAATATGATTTGAATTAAAATAATGGAATTATGAAAATTATTAACGATCTAATAATTAAATATCCTGAATGGATAACATTGATTTAAGGATAAAATGATTAAATAATTAGAATCAATAGATCTATTGATATAAAATAATTAATGATAGAATATGAATGCTTAGATTGCAATTGAGAATTATATAAATAAAAAGAACAATAACACAAATATTATAATTATAATCTATGTCATATATTATTATAAATCTCAGAATCCTAATTATGTCAACCATTTTCTTACACTCATAGTATGACTACCATTTATTTCAACTCTTCCAACCTAATCTCTTTGTATTAATCTTATACCTTTTCATAAACATCTGCATTTGAACATACTTTTCTTAATTCTTTTACAAATTCATTCACATCTCCTTCTATATGTCTTATAACTGTTCTTGGTACTTCACTTCTCACAAAATATTTTTTGTATACTGGAAGATTTCCATTTTAAGATCTCAATACTCTGAATGGAGATTCTTCCCTTGTTTTGTATTGTAGTGGTTCTGGTATTTGAGAGTATTACTCTCTCTTTTATTAAGCAACTGGATGTAGTCTTTTTAAATTTTCTTTAGGTTGTCTTAACACTAGAGATTTTAATACTTAAGTTTTATTCATATATTAATATTAATAAAAGCTGCAACTCCACTCAGAATCCATTCTCTATTTGTATCACATGGCATTGGAATAAATGTTATTAATTCTTTTCTGTCTATTAATTTATACAACGGACATGAATAAAATAACTAGTATTCATCTTCTTCTTTATAATTCAAAAAACAAATTGGAAATTCATTTAACATAGAATTTGATTCTACTATTATATGTTATTTCTAATTCCATTTTGCCCCTTGTAAAGTCAATCCATAAATATAATAACCATTTGAAGGACTCTTTGTTATATGTTCTAATTTTATACTATCCAATATTGTAAATATTGTCTTTTTATTTAAACATTCTTAACTATATTTTGCATACATTAAAAAACTATTTGGTTTCATAAATCCACCCAACCAGATTGCATTTGGTATTCCTTATTCATTCCAATTATTTATAAAATTTGCTCTCCTTAAAAACTCTTAAAACCATTAACCCAATTTATTTTCACTTCTAAATCCTATATCCATCCATTATTATGGTACTCTTTAGTACTTTATATCTTCTGCTATCATTGTGTTTGGACATGAATCTCCTGCTAATATTCTTTATATTATTTATATAGATTCTTCAATTATATCTATTAATTAATTGATTAATGATATCTCTTAAACTAAATAAGAATCCAATTTGTGATTCCTTGAATTATCAAACACTATCTATTTTGGTAAATTTGAACTTAAATATTATACTGTTTTATTTACCTCATCATTTATTTAATCTATCTATCCATATTCTTTATACAATAAATCATTTATAAATTCTTGACATATTTATTCTCCTAGATATATTTATATAAGATTACTATTAACTGGACTTACCTTATCTATTAAATAATAACAAGAAAGTTTATTAAGAATTATTTAATCTTGATCATCAACAATATGACCACCATAATGTAATTAAGATGTTATATAACTTAAAGCTATTGGTTTCAATTTGTCACTTACATCAATTTTATTGCTTTATTCTTATGTGATATTTAAATCATATTAAGTAAACTAATATTTCTTATTAAAACCTAACAAACCTAATTTACAAAAATTTAGTAATCCAAAATGAAATTTAGCAATATCTGTCATTTCTATTTATTTCTCATCATTCGTATTATAAGTTAATTTAACACTTTTTTATAATATTCTTCCTGGAAATTAAATTATAGATTTAGAAGTTAACCATAATCTATAATCTGTATGTGACTCAATCATAATCAGTTTATCTAATTCATTTAACCATTACTAATGCAAATGGCAATTTTATATAACAATCCAAAGTCCCTATTCTGCTGCTTCTCTTATCAATTTCTCAGCTTTATTACCTTATCCTTATCCTAAAGATAAAGTCCATAATTTTTTAATAAAGTTTCTGGTTGATGCAAAATCTTTTATTTACTCTATTGGATCTTAATTATTTTATAAAACATAAAGTAATATTTTATTTTATTAGCTTTCATTAAATGTTATGTCAAGTGGAATTTATTAAACTTTGTCAACATCAAAATCTAGCATTCTTTATATAAATTATTTAATCATAATCTAAATATAATCAGGTCTAATAGCTTTGACTATGAATATTCTTTAAATTTCATCTAATCTTTCTATATGAGGTATCTCCGATTCTTAGTATTTCTTACTTAAATAAAACTATTTAATTTATTCAAAATTATTAATAAGTATTTTAGCAGTTACTATTTAAAAGTTATCTAATTCTATACAAATTCTTTAATAATTAGAATTATCAATCCATGTAAAAGGGTTATCTTTTGGTTATTAAACATCAGTCTTTAATTTTGAATATCCAATAAAAGCTTACCAATCATCTTAATCAACAGAAACCATACATTATTTGGCTAAAAGAAATGCAAAGACAAATCTATGTTTTTCTGTTAAAACTCTGCTTAAACATGAATAAAATCTTAAACGAAAATTAGGAAAAAGTAATTTTAGATTATTTGTATTTCTAATAGTATAAAGAAGTTAGTTTATAAACCATTCTAATGAAAATTAATACATAGGATCCAGACATTACATCTCTTAAGATATGAAATATAAATCTGTTATTTTAGAGGCTAATTATTTATACTACTATTTAGTATTGGTTAAATCTTTTTATATTTATTAAAATTCTGATTATGCTAATTATATTTCATTAAATATTTTCTTTGAATTAGAAAGTTAATTAATTAAGGTTTCTTAATTGAGTAAATCTTTGAAATTTTCAACATTTAAAATAGATAGAATTGTATCTTCAATTTATTTTAATTTTAATTCATTTTTAAATTCCATTTATTTTAATTCAATTTATTGTTTATATAATTCTGGATTTTATGTATTAACTATTTAATTCAAGATTAATTCTTCAGCATTGAGTTTAGTAATTTGGAAATTTATAACATAAAATTATGAATAATTCAAAGAAGACATTTAAAAATTATATTGCATCGTAGTCACATAAATTTTAACTATAGGATGAGGGTTATTATTGACATAATCAATTAACCAATTTGGAATAACATTTAAATTTTCAATAAGAATACTTTATTTTAATGATAGTGCAACTTCAAATTAGTGTTAATCATTGACATCCATAACTGAATTATGCAATCTTAAATATTCATTTGCTTAACATTGAGGATCAATACAAAGGATAGGTTTTATACTATGTTATAAAAATATGGAGTTAATTTATTAGAGATCTTAAATTTAAGATGGATTTAAAAATTATTAAGGATGATTTTCAAATCCAATTTTAGACTTAACTTATTTAGCCCATTATTATAATAATTAATTTTTTAGTTATTCTGTTAGAGGAGCACAATAGTTCAAATACGCTGCTGCAATTGCACAATCACCTAACACATTTTTTTAGGAATTTTTTAATATATTAATTTGATGAGACCATCTTTATTATTCTTGTTCTAATCCTTATGTTAATCCTATAGCACGTTATAATTTATTCGTTGAGTCTTCTAATTATTTATTTAGAACATCACATTTCTATGTTTATTGGTCATACTTTTCTTATAAATCCTTCACTTTTTGAAATACAATCACCAATTATGACTTTTTCTCATTCAAAATTTATGTTTTTTCTCTTAATTATTTTTATGCTTCAATAAGTCTATCCCTTAATGGTTTAGTTTCTATGTACACTTTGTTATATTCATACATAGCCTTAACCCAAGAATATAAATATTTGACAGCTGCAGAACATTGTTTGGCTCTTTCAAATGTGAAATCTGGTTCTGATAAAACAATTTTTTCAAGTCTGTTAATATTATAAGGATTGATATTATTTTTGTCGTAATTTCTAATTAGTTCCAATAATTCTTTAGGATCATTCAATAAATATTTTTTAGCAATTTCAAAATAATCTTGATTTGTAAGTGTAGTAAGAGGTTAAGTAATTTAAGATCTTAAATTATCTAGATTTAAGATAACAACTCCAGTTAAAATAATAACAACTGGTTTAGGTGGTTTACCTAAAGATTTAATTTCAATTAAATGTTCTTTTTTTAATTTAGATACATCTTATAAAGTTTGATCCAACAATAGATTAACTTCCTTAACTGCTTATGTAGCTTCATTGGCTAATTTAGTGGCTTAAATTTATTAAAAATTAGCTTGTGTTTCATCTTCACTTAATAATGATTCTTAATAAAAAGCTTAATCTTTTTCTTATTTTAATTTTTCCATCATTCTAGAGCTTTCTTATTAAGATTTCTCAATTTCAGGTGTTATTTCAAGCAATTCTTTTTTTAATTCCGAAATAGTTTCATTTGCAGTTAAAATTTTGGATAAACCATTTTTAATACGATTGATTCTAGATTAAAGTTCTGTAGTCTTTAATAGATAAAGTTTATTAAATGTATAAATGAGATCATAATAATGGATTGAAGTCACAGTTTATATTTTCTAATGATTATCAATTAGTTATGCAGATTAATGGAAGAATTTAAATAATTCACTAATTTATTTTAGATTAATATCTAAATGTTTTAATTACATTTAAGCAATACTTATTAATGCTTATTCTGGTAATTATTATAATGCAAGAATATGTGAACAATTAATAAGATTTGGATAATGTCTAAATTTATTTGTAGATGTTATACAAACAATGAAATGTAGATTATTAACTAATCTATTCAAATAAAGTTTATGTAATATAATTTTTCTATTTGATTTACAATCTTGATATTCTTAATCAATTTATTCTTAAAATACAGAATGAAGATCATCTAATTCTTGTCGATTAAATATATCTAAATCTCCAGAATTTAATAATGTACTTATATCTTAATAAATGGTAGGTTGATTATGTGAATTTCTTTAATCATCAATAATGATTGCAATCTTTTTATTTTCAATAATACATTTTTTAATTATATTCCTAAGATCTTCTTTCCATCTTTCAATTTAAGGAGATTCACTTTCTTAAATAAATGCTGCTAATTTAGATAATTAAACTCCTCCAGTACCAACTTAACCTAAAATTACTAAATGACCTTATTATAATCCTAATACTCTTGAAATTGCAATCAATGATTTTAAAGCATCATCATATATTGTAATACCTTATTTTTAAAATTATTCTTTCATTAATTATAATAAAGTATCAAAATCATTTACAGCCTTGTAAGAATGATCATTATATCCACTTGAAAATTCACAAAATTATACTGAATCAACACCAATTATTGATTATGCTAATATCTTATCTTATTTTGTTATTAATCTATCTACAAATACTCTTGCCATCTCAAAATTCCATTAATTTTCATTTAATGTCTTTTTTGTACACATACTCTAAAATACTCTCCAAACATCTCTCATTGTAAATTAATAATGTACTTTAAGTGGAGTAGCTTTTATTTATTCTTTTATTTATTTATATGCTTATAATGTTTTTTATACAATATGTTGCATTTAAAATGCTTATGTCATCTAATTAAATATTGTATAATAAACTGTTTCTTCTTATAAGAATTTAAATGTTGTCCATAATCTTAACATTCTATCACTATGTTAGTGTTATTATGTCATTGCAGCTAAAATTGTAGTATCTTCTATTTTTTATAAAATAGAATGTGAATCTCTTTTTGAATACCATCCTTTTTGATGTAAAAATTATCGAATTAATTCTACATCTTAAGGCATATGGAAATCATCCAAAACTATAATACATCTCTAACCCATTTATGGACCAAAAATTCCTTTTCTCCTTCTCTCTAAATTTGATTCTAATGTCTATTAAGTATTTGATGAATTAGTTGATGATGAACAATTAATTCTTATATATTAAAAACTATGAAGTATTTCATTTATAAGTTTTGTTTTACCAGCACCACTAATTCCTTCAAATCTTATATTTGTATTATTCAAAAGAGCTTAGGATATTTTTAAATATGCCATATCTTCTATTTTTGGAACATATATGTCTTCAAAATTTGTGAATTTTAAAATTGTTGGTACATGAAATAATTAAAATTTATTCATATCTTCTTTGTATTCATTATATATTATTAAATTATCGCAAATAATATTTCCTAGATTCATTAGATATTCATTCATACTAGATCGTTCATTTTTATCATTTACTTAAGGTAATATAGTCCATGCCAAACAATAAATAAACAATTAAATATTAAAATTATGATATTCACTTTAGATTTGTCTCATAATTGTAATTAATTGATGTGAAAAGTAACTTAAAGGTATTTTAAGCTGTAAAATTCTATTTTTAAGTTTTTCAATAATCTCATTATATTTGGATGCTTATTTATCACATGTTTGAGAAATAAATTGTTTAAGTCCTAATAAAGGATCATCAGAAATATATAAGATACCACAACGAGAGATAGTAGAAGGTGTTGCTCCTTTAAGAGTATCTACTTCAAAAATCATAGAACAATTAAGATTGATTATACATCCATTAGTTAAACAAAGTCTTTTACTATTGTCTAAAGCAGAATTCATAGTTTCAATCCATTCTGTTTCAACAGCTCCATCAAAGATATATACTTCTTATTATTATTCTAATTTTAATAAACTTGGTAAAACTCCTTCTTCCCATTCTAATGTACTGATATTGAGACAACCAAATAATTCAGAAGCCTTCATAGCTTTTGGAAATAACCGAATGTTAGTTAAATTAGTTTATTTAAGTGTTACTTCTAAACAAGCACTTTTTCCTTAACCTGCAGGTCCAACTATCATAATACCATGTCTAAGTTTGAGTATTTATTTAAGTTCTGATACTTTTTATTATAATACACTAGTAGCAATAAAATGACCAAAATCATCTCTTCCTACAGATTTGATTTCTTATGCAGGATAAAATTATAATAACAATTAATGGAATAATATAAGATCATTTTAAATAAGTTTAGGTTCATATACATATTTTAAAGCTTTTAGAATATAATTAGATTGATCCAGTTTTAGGTCATTTGATTATTCTTAATATAATTGACCTGCTAATATGACTACACTTTTTAATGCTCTTAAACTATAATCATAATGATATTAATTAGATAACAAATCTTTAGATATTGAAATCAATTCCATTAATTAATGAGTTAATTTCGAAGGTTCATTAAATCCAAATATAGATAAGATTGTTGATAAAATAATTTATATATTGGGTGAAATCATTGATGCCATTCTAAAATAAGATTTTAAATTATCTGGAAATTCATTTCTTCCTTTGTAATCTGGATTCATAGTAACAAATATTCCATCCGGTTAATATTACATTAATTTAGATGCAGCAACAGAAAGTACTTCAGCTGCAATTCTATTAAATTCATCAAAACAACTCCAACATTAACTAGTATAAATTCCTTTAATAAATTATGATATTAGAATATAATCAACTAATTCTGAACAATTAAATAAAATACATCTATAACCAACAGCTTTACATAAATCTTTAATAGTTTCAGTTTTACCAGTTCCAGTTTAACCAACAGCTGCTCCTCCTCTTTTGTAATGTAATGCATTCAAAAATATTACTAAACTTCTTTCTGTTAATGGAGTTATTATAATTCTTTCTAAATTACCTTAATATTCATATCCATATTATATTGATGCCTCTAATGAATTTATTTAACAATTAGTATTCTTGATATAATATCTCAATTATAAACTCCAATAAAATGGTATTAATTATTAATTATAATCCAATAATTATTTTAATACTTCTACATGATGAGCTAATAATATAATGTTTGCAACATCCAAATTCTTATTCTATAATTTATCCTTCAATTCTACTAAATATATTCTAAGATCTCTGCCCTATTTCATATCTTCCTCTACTCTATATGTATGATCTAATTCAAAATTTATCAATGTAACTTAATTTCCACAATCATTATTTCTACTCAAAATATTTTATTTCACATTATATTTCATCTACTATTCTACTTCCAATAACCAATCTTCAATACATTTATTATTTGTATCTACTTTCTCTTAATATCTTAATTCACATTCTTTTGTTTATACTGCATATATTTAATTTTATTTATTCATCTTTAAATTAACAATGCTCTCAAATAATTTATATAAATATTTCTATAAAAATATTAAATCTTAACCATTTGATAAAATCTCTAAAATTTCTTCATTTGATATAAAATAAAACCTACTAAATTTCTCCTTCTTTCTTTCTAAATAATTTCCTAATTCTTTATGTATTTGATCCAATAAACCATTTATCTATTTAACTTTCTCTACATCTTGTTATCCAAATTCAATCACTTTATCTGAATAACCAATTATCTCTTTATATAACTTATCTATCTATCTATACTTTTTATATTCTACTGGTAACTATTTTAATATATCTCCAGAATCAAAAACTGGTTATAAATATACTATTTAACTCTAAGTCTTATTCCATTCTTCTAAATAACATGATATATGTCTCAATTAATCATATAAATTATTTATTTTTTATATAAAATAATTATTATTCTTCTATTTCATCATTAATTCCAATTATATTAAATGATCATCTACCAATACCTATACAATATCTAATTTCTTAAATATTTAAACTCCTTTCACCATCATACTATTAAATCTATATTCACTCCAAATTTCTGTTATCTATTTTAATATCTACTCTATCCCATATTCTTCTTAAGCTTTCAATCCCAATTCTATACATTCATCATTATAATTTATTATTTTTAAATCTATTAATTACTACAATGATATATAATTCTCAAATTCTAAATCTTCAATATTTAATAACTCACCCAAATATTTAAAATGTCTCTTTCTCAATCCATTCTTTGTTAATGATAATAATATTGGAACATACATTTAAAATTAATCTATCTCCTTTTTTAACTCTTTCCATAATGTAAAAATCTCTTAATTCTATATCTTATCTACTACCTATATAAATTATTTATAATCTTAATTAAAAAACTATTCACAAGCCTAATAATCAACTATATTCAATGAATCATTTAACCATTTTACATTTTATTATTACCATATTGAATTCACTCTCCAAACTGCTTCAAATGGTTTATATTCACATTATAACTATAATAAAATTTCATAATTTGTCTATTCCAAACCAAACAATTATTCTCTCTTATTAAATCTTTAAGCCTCATCCGAATATTATTTAAATTAATTATTTATAACTATCATCATATCCTCTGCCATCTTACTCTATTCTTATTCATAATATTCCTAAAATTGATATACTTATTATTAAAGTTATCTTATTTTTTTTTTGAATTTTTATTATTCATGTGCTTAAATCTAAAATATTTCATCCTTTTAATTCTCTAATAATTATTTTTAAATCATTGATAATTTTAAAAGTTATTATTCTTAAATTAAAAGTCTATAATATTTATGTGTTTCTTCTCTTCTAATTGGATAAAAGTTTATATAAACAATATTTTAACATTCTATCACTGAATTTAATAAATCAAAATTCAATTTATTTTTTTAAACTTCTTATTATAAAAAACTCAACTTTTATGGTAGAACATCTTCTAAAAATTCCCTTTTTTCTACAAGCAATTCTATATTTTAAGGTTTTTCTATTATTTTTAATTCTAAATTAGCATATTCGTTTAATAATCTCATACAATCTTCTTTATGATATAAAGACAACTACTCAATATAATATTACTCCCTTTTCCTAAGTATTAATTAAAAATAATTCTTCATTTCAGATATTACAATTAAAAATGTTCCTACTTCTATAAATTCTGGAATTTGATCAATCAATCTCATATCCTCTCGATTATTTAAAATTAAAGTTTCAGCTAGATTTATTTCAAATGGTTTTTGGTTTTACAATTTTTGTAAGTTTTCAAATTATTTTAAATAATCAAAAAGAGACTTTTTTATTTTATTCGATAAATTATCAATCGTATCAATATACTAATAAGAATAAATAATAAATTTTACTTTTTGTTCCTTCTCAGGTGCTTTTAAATTTCCATTCATTGTGTATAAAAATTCCTTTTAAAAATACTCTATTAATCTCGTTTCTGGATCAGGTATATTTCCTATTGCTTCATATATTAATTCAAAAAATCCTAATATTATATCTTTAAATTGAATAGGATTAAAAGAATAACAAATTTCATTAACCTTAAATAAAATTTAAATTGAATATAAAGGCTTAATTATTGCATATTAATTTGTATAAATATTATGAACTTATGAATAGGATTAAATTTATACATCTTCAGGAATATGTGTATTTAAGTAATTAATGAATTTTTCAAAATTTATCTTCAAGAAATTAAGTAATGCATCCTGCAATCTCATTCTTGTTAATTAAAAAAATCTATCTAATTAAATTTATGTTAGAATTAAACTTTTTTTATTTTGTATTTATAAATTTATTCTACAAAATTCAATGATTTCTTCTATCCATTTAATTTTAATACTTTGTAGCACAGTTTTAATATGCATTTCTTATGAAAACTTAAATTTTTCAAATGACTATTATTAATATACAAATAAATCATATTATAATAAATCTGCAACATGATTACTAATATATTATAAACATTTTTAAATAGGTTTAATATTTGAAATAGATGCCAAAAAATATGATTGTCTCAATATTTAAAATGAAGTTTTTATCTATTAAATAAGTATTCCTTCAGAATAAATTAACTGAGTTTAAATAAGATTTTTGATTGAGTTTTCTGGTTTTATGTATTAATTTTTAAAAATTTCAAGTAAATCTTTAAGTTTTTTATTTGTTTCATTATTTTTTAAAAATAGTTTGAAAATTATTTCATTTTATGTTTTTAGATTTAAAAGGTTAACTTCCATAAATTCTTTTTAAATTTATTATTTAGGGAATTCAAATCCTAACCTTTTTTTAATTTTTTTTTTTTAATCAGCATTTAATTAAATTAAATCATTAGTTGGCATATTTTCTACATAACAATTGAATTTTAAATATCTATCCATTTAATCTCTTAGATAAAATGCTTATCTTAATTTTTTAATATATAATTATTTATCTTCAAAATCCATAATAAAATGAATTCTAGCACACCTTCCTTCTCTATTCTTTCTTTAGTAATGAAATAACTTTGAATATCCAATTAATTCAGCTCTATACCAGAACCAATCACCTAAAGTATTCTATTCCATAACATATATTAAAATTTTTTAATTTTTCAGCAATTAAATAATTTAATCATCAGAATATACTTATAATGTATCATCTTCAAATTTTTCTATTGGTAAATATAGATTTTTGTTTATTTAAATAGAAAAATCAAATCCTTAAGATAAAAAGTATTACTCTATTGTTTATACTTAATTGAGCTTTTCTTCCCCTTTTACTTATTCATTATTTTATAATAATGATGTTTCTATTAGATCATTACGTAAATATTTAGCTTTTGAAAATCTTGAAATTGTGAATTTAGGTTCTTGTTTTTAATCAGAAAGAGTAATTGTTTTATTTGTTAATGGAGGCATTCTAATTGCAGTTACTCTAGCATGCATAGACTTTTATCTATTACTAATTCTTTCAGTCTCTTCTTTTGTTACATCTTTCTTAATATAAAATGATCTATTCAAATATTATCTCATTTTCTTATTAGAACAATTATCAAAATTTATATTATATAAATTAAATCGAAACTTTTCTTAGTTAATTAACAAATATAAGTAACTTGTTATTTTTATATAATGACAATGATTATTTTTGATACATATTAATATAATCTTCAGATTGTAAAAATTTAATAATCTAAAGAAGTTTTATATATAATTATATAATCTTTTATCTAATGTCATTTTATAAAATTAAATTCAAAGTATTAAGGAAAGTTTAATCAATAAATGATCATCTTTTTATACTTAATTAAAGTATTATTCAAAAAAGACTAAGTCAAATGAAGATTTTCTATTTTGAATTGATAGTTTATCTAATTAAAATCATTAATTTTCTTATGAATTTCTAATTTTTTTAGGGAAAGCATGTAAATGTAATAGCAGATATATAATTAGAAAGTAATTCTAAATAAGTTTTTAATATCTATATAAAATTTACAAAAGATATCTTTATATGTGATTATATAATTTATTGTTAATTAAAGAGGAAAAATGAGAAATTTCAGAAAGAAACAAGAATTATAAAAGAGTTTTTAATTTATGCATTTAAATTAAAACACTTAGAGATCTAATTTATTAAAATTAATTTTCTAAAATTCATAAACAAATTTTAATAAATCGATTATGAAATCATAGTTATCTGAGTCCATTTAATTTGTTAATTTTCTTTTTAGATTGATGAATGTATAACTGGTAGTCAATTTTGTAATGTCATCAGATTTTTTTAACAATAATTTATTTAATTAAAGAACTTTTGTAAATTCAATAAATTTACATGTTTTTGACTTCTCAAAAGAAAGGATCAACATTTATTGAATAATTTATAACAATGATGATCATATTAAAGAAATAACATTAGTTAACAAAATTAGCATCTGCAATCATAATAGTGATACCTTACATTTAACTTATAATTTTAACATTAGATTTGAGATTAAATGAAAATATAAAGAAAGAATCAATTCACTTTTAAATTGTAAGAAATTTAATAAGGCCAGATATATGGTTAATTGAGAAAGGAAATGAATATCAATCCCTACTGTTTATAATTGTGCTTATAGTAATTTTGTTTTAAAAAGCAAAGCTAATAATCATAGTTATATTATATCATTATTTTCTGAAAAAAGACAACCTGCTAGCACATTTACAAAATAATTTTTATTTTAAGATTCCTATAGCTATTTTAAGCCTTTATTAATAGATTATATCTTTAATACTCTATTAATGGTCTATATTAATATGTGTATGCAGTATTAGAACCCTTCTCATTTAGATAAATAGTGATAAATAATTTTTAAACCTATTTCTAATATTTTTAGTTTTAATAACTTTAATATTAGTAGTTCTAGACAATTTATTGCATATTAAAGTAATAGAGAAACCTCTTACATTGAAAATTTCGGGATTGGAAAGAAAAAATATAAGCAGTTTGAGATATGTATCTTTAATAATAGAATTCATAGTTCAATTTCTTTATATCTTTTAAAAAGGTTCACTTTTAACAATGCATCTTTTAATTGGATTATCTTTATTAAAATGCATTTTAGATCTTTATGATCAATTTATAAATTATGTTTTTGTCAATCAAAAATTAATTTAAGTGTTTTTTTGTGGAATATCATTTTCTATTATAGTAAATAGTTTATTAGAGTTAGTTGAATTATAAGATAAATATGGGTCTAGAATGATTTTTTAGACACTTGTTTTAACTCCTATTTTATTTTAAATTCTATTGAAATTACATTAAATAGACTAAAAATAAAATTTGGCTACATTATTTAATGAATAGATTACATCTCCAAAAAGATTTATATATCATATAATAAGCATTTTAAATGAACATAACTTTGAATTTTGTATTGTTTAAAGATCTTTAATATAACAATTACATTATAAAAAATGTGAAAATTTAAATTGCTCTATTTGTGGACATTAATATATCTTAGATACTAAATCAGCATAAGGAATAACAATAGGAATATTTAAGGAATTTATATAATCAAGATTAATGCTTCTATTAAAAGATTCATTAAAATTAAATTTTACTGATTAAAGAAGTTGCAAATAATCAAAGAGAAGATTTCTTACTTATGTTTTTCTTTTATATGATTTTGGATGGACAATGTAATCATTATAGTATTTACATTAATTAAAAAATTCATAATAAATATAATCATCTTAAATGAAAGGAGTTAAAAATCATGTTGGGACTTTACCTTAAAGTAATTCATATTCAGATAAAACTAGTCACTTTATAACTGGAGATAATTAAACTAATTTATCTTAGCCTTAGAATATTGATGCAAATATGTAATTTTAAATTAATGTTTTATTAAATTAAATTAAGTTTAATACTCTTGAATCAATTACTATATCAGTAATTTTAGAAGAAGCAAGAAGAACAATACAGAGAAATTTTGGAACAGATGATTATGTTTAATAATAATCCATCACTTCTGATTTTGTGACCTAATATTTATTAAATGAAGTTTAAGTTTAATAATCAATAAATATCATAATTAATTTAGCTAAATAAAAAATTAAATATTATGAAGAAATGATGAAAATTAAATCAAATGATGAATAAGTTAGTTTTTGGGATAATAATCAAAGTTATATAGGTTTAATTGATAAATGTAAATAATTGAATGATGCAGAATATAAGATTACTTAAATGTATAATGTTCATCCAAGTTTTATTATGCATCAAGCTTTAAATATATTTTATTGTTATATTTAAAATGATTATGATAAAGCAATGCAATTTTCAAGGAATCAAAAATTTATAGATGAAAGATAATTAAAATTTTTAAAAATTAAAAACTTTAATGTAAATTCTTAAGAAATTTATTATTTAATTATGACATTACAAGATGATATGCAACACTTTAATATATAAACTCATTCAACAAAACTATTTGATACATTTGGAACATTTAAAAATAAAGGAGAGACTAATCAATTTGAAGATTTAATTCCTTTAATAGTAATTAATTATCATCATCATTTTGTTGGACAATTCTTAGAAACTGGATTATGTAAATTCTTTAAGATTTTTGATATTAATTTCATAGTTTCTAAAGATTAATTTATTTAAGCAGTTAATTTAAATGTTGATGTAACAGAATTATTTTTGAAATCTAATTTAACATTTTCAGCTTTTTTTTAACCTAATACAGAAGATTTAATGTTTATTTTAGTTGATGGTATAAAACATTAATGTCTATTTACAAAAAGTATTTTAATTTAAATTGGTTGGTCTTCTGAATAAATAGATTGGTTTAAAACTAATTATGATATTAATAAAATTACTATAGAAAATATTATGCCAGATTTTTTAGATATTCTTGAATCTCTTATAAAATTAACAGAAACCTCTCTTAGCTAAATTGAATTAATCTTTCCAAAACCTCCAAATAAATTACCATCAAAATAATTTGAATTCTAAAGTCTTAAAAGTATTAGAAATGGATATTTTAGATCTAATACTATCTAAAATTTAAAATACTTTTGTGATCTCACTATTAGAAAAAGATAAATTACAAATTATACTTATTATGTTATGTAAATATCTTATATTCAAAAATAATAAAATCCTGATAATTCAATTGAAAATGTTTCTCATAGATTAAAATCAAATGTTATTGATGAATGTGATTTTGACAGTGAAATAGGTGAATTAGAATTAAAAAATTAAAATTAGATTTTTGAACAATTTTAAAAATAAGTCATACATTCTTCTAGGAAAATATAAAAAAATTTGAATTTATTTTCCAATTATTTAAATGATTAAATTTAAGAAGATCTTTTTAGTCCAGGTAGAATTTGTATTACTAATCATAATAATTAAGATTAAAATGAAGGTAATGAATTTAAAGAATTGTTAAATTCAAATAAAAATAATTAATAATAATATTTTTGTCATGAAGATTAAATGAAAGATTGTTCATCTTATGAACTAATAATTTCTTAGTATACAAAAAAATAAGTAAAATAATAAAAAACAAAGACTTGGAATGATATATCAAAAGAAACTCTATGGAAAAAATATGATGTAATTCATAGAATAATGTAAGAGTCAAAGCCTAAATACTTAGTATAATTCTTGATCTATACCTTAATACTTTTATTATGCTTTTTAGTGATACCTATTTTTATAATGAAGGAATTGAATAGTGATTTAAATCTTTTAATTGAATAAATTGAAATGTTGTAATTACATGCAAATATTATGGGTCCTCATGATCTCTTTTTTTCTATGAGAATCACTGTTACATCTTATTAAATATAATATAGAGAGGGATTCATTAATGCTAAAGAACTTTAAGTTCTCACAGCACCTTTCTTAGAATACATGCCTTTAGGTTATTAAGAATTATAGGAAAACTTTTATACATAATTAAATAATCCTTATTTAGCTTAATTTTTAAATGATGTTAACATTCCAGTTTGGTTTATGGGGGAAAATTCTTCTGTAATTTACACTCAAAATGTTACATTCAGAGATAATCTATTTATTATGCTTTAATATTAACAATAATAAATGTCTGCATACAAATATAATAGGGCCATTGCTGGTCAACCATTTTAAGTTTTTTTAATTGCTAATTATTTAGTTATGTAAAACACTTGTGAAAATTTAACAAGTGAGATAAAAACATATTCTTAATTGTAATGTGATTAAATTTATTTAAAATGGTCTATTCTATTGACTTGCTTTGTTTTAGTTTTTATTCTATTTTTATTAATAGTATTTTATTACCAAAAATAATATTTTGCTTCATATGATCTAATTATAGGATTATTAAGACACAATACAGATGAAATTATATCAAATGAAATATCAAGGTAGAATGCATTACTTAATATTATATCAGAAAATATGTTAGAAAAGTTTTAATTGGAAAAAGAATACTTTTTAATAATATAAATATAAAATTAAAATGATAATGCAAAATAGAATTAATTAATGTATCATAAATACTCTTAAAAATATCCATAATATAAATACAACATAGCAAACATCACTATATTAATTTTAATCATCATATATGGAATAATAATATTTATATAAGCCTAATAGTATTTAACTAAATATAATGTTACAACTGATTTTTTTAAATTGATTTAAGATTTAAAATTTCGTGGAGGGAATGGATTTCTTTATAGAGAAATGTTTTTTCGTTTTTCAACTTACCCATTTCTAACAAAAACAGACTCAGATAATCTATACATTTTATTAAAGAGATCATAAGATGTTTTATAAGATTTTAATTCTATAATTGAAACAATTCATTATGATGACTATTTACTTACAGAAAGTTTTGTAGATTTATTAGAATTTGTATAAGTAAATGAGATGTGTTCTTAAGTAAATGAGGTATTGATATAAAATTAATTTAGAGCTTTAAACCATTGATGGATTAATATTGTGTATTATCTTTTGAAGGAATTCTTTCAAAAGGAATAGCTCCAGCTCTTACTTATCTTTATAATTAAATATAAACTTAATAATAGATGAACAATTTTACAAAAAGAGTAGAGACACATAAATATGAATTAGAGGGTGCTTAGATAATAACAAGAGCCTTTTTTGCTTTATCAGATAATTTTAAGAGTAGTTTTAAAGATATTACATTTGAGACGATTAAAAATTTGAATGTAAATTAAAAAACTATAATTTAGAATGTTTCAATTAGTTATTTAGTATTTTGTGGAATAACAATGTTAATATTAATTTTATTTTACCCAAAATATTTGCTTAATTAATATCAATTATTGAAAAGAATTGTGTACTTTATACCACTTCAAATTTTCTTGAGAGATGGGTATTTGGAAAGAAATTTAAAAGAAATATTAATAAAATAAATGTGAATAATATGACTGATGTTTTTCATTCTTCTGATCATTCAAAAAAATCTATAAGTTATCTAATAGCTTATTCTATATAAAAAATAAAGGAAATAATTACTTTTAAGTTTAGCTTCAGTTTTTTGTCCTTTTTGAATTTCATTAACAATGTCTGCAAACGTAGGTCTTTCTTCTGGATTTTTCTTTAAACTTTTTTTAGCTAATTAAGATAGTATAGGTGGATTGCTATTAGATGGTATAATAACTTAATCCTATCCATATCCTACAGATCCTATAATTTAAGTTTGTGATAATCCTTCATATGGTATTAGTTATGTAATAATTTCCCAAAGAATCATACCAAAACTATAAACATCAGCTTTTTCTTAATATGGTTCTCCTCTCATAATTTCTGGGGCCATCCAATTTGGTGTTCCTATTCTTGCTCCTTTAACTTTATGATCTATTTTTTTATTAATTCTAGATAATCCAAAATCACATAATTTAACATTCCAATTTTAATCTATAAGAACATTTGAAGATTTAAGATCACAATGCATAACCTTTCTACCATGAAGATAATTCATTCCTAATGCAATATCTTCTACTATTTACATTAAAGCTTTTTAATCTATATGAGTTTTCTTTTTATGTAAATGATCAAACAGACTACCCTCTTCCAAATATTCTGTGATTAAATAATAATTTTATTTTCTTATACACACTCCCATATACAAAACTATATTTGGATGACGTAAATTTGATATCACTTCAACTTCTTTAAGGAAATCAGCCACTTATAATTTATATTTCAAATTCCCTTAAGATTTCCTTTTTCCATAAGATTTTATAGCTACATCCTAACCAAGCCATTTACCTTTATGTACTACACCATAACCACCTTCACCTATTATTTATCCAATAATTAATTCATTAAATACAATCAATACTCTTTCATTTATTCCAAATTCTCTAAACAATTACAATAACTTTTTAGGTATATGATGTTATTATGTATTATCACATTATTTCTCTTTCTTATTCTATTCTCGAAATCTTCTTGATTTCTTTTAATTTTTATATTTTTCTTCATCTGATGATTCTGAACTTGAATAATTACCAGATACATCAGATTCTTAACTTGATGAATCTTAATCTTAATGTCGATTACCATTTAATTCAGATTTTTAACGTTATAACTAAGTATTTATTGTTAATAATTTCTCTATTTAATGAATATTCTCTTCATTGTTGATATTTATTTAAGGTGGACTTTTTGATTATTAGAATTCTGATATTTCTTATTACTTATTTGTTGATTATTATCTAGATAATTAATTCATTTCTTATGTCTCTCTCTCCTTATTCTCTTCTACAACATTTAAACATTCATTTAATACTAAAATCTCTATCTTTTAATCACTTACATTATTACTAGCTTTATTTGGAGATTCTAGGATAATTAAATATCAAATACAAATTGGGGAAGTAAGATGTTATTTACCATCTTCATCATCAGCAGATTCTCCTGATTTTTACAAATCCATAGTTTATTTTCTCTATTATTTGCTTCTTTTACTTTTTTATCTTTTTAGCCTCATAGATTTGTTATTATCACTTAAATTTCCTTAATCAGAATCATTTGATATTGATCTAGTAGGTGATTTAGGAATATCTTTATTATATTTTTTTCTTTTATGTCCACTAGGTGAATCACTACTTGATCCACTTTTATTATTATCATGATGCTCATTTTATTCTTCTTCAATTTTTTCCATATAAGAAAAGATACTTTTAAACCTTTATTATTCAATTGAATTATATAATCCTTTTCTATCTTCTAATGATTCCAAAGGTTTCTTTAATCTAACTTTGCCTCCCATAAATTTAACATAATATTTTTTATATTCTTCAATAGACTATAAAATTTATTTTCTATGTCCCAAGACTGATATTCCTAAATCTGATTTTAGATCATTATCTGTTAATGCATATAAAGTTTTGCCTGTCATCTAATTTTTTTAAAATTCATCTTTATATTCACCTAATCCTAAAGAATCTAACCAAATGCATACTTCTTCTAATTACCATTCCTACACTATATATTTAATATATTTGAATAATTTTACTATTTTTTTAACTTTCAAACTCTTCAATTTTTTCTAATACTTATAAACTCAAAAAACCATGTTATTATGAATTTCCAAGTGAATTTAACTATGATTTACCTTCTTCTTTTAATAATGGATCAGATTCACCTTAACCACTTTATCCACTAGGTTATAAATCTTTTTATTTATCACTATCATTTTAAATAGTAGGACTAGCTTCTATTTTAATGACACAATCCTCACTCTTCTCTCCTTCTATATGGCTTCTTTCTGGTTTAATATGGAATTTTTCAAGCACAAATGTTGGCACCTCTTCAATTTATACACTATCTAATATATTGTCTGATTCATGATGCTATTTGTAATATTTCTTCTCACGAGTATTAAAGTAATAACCAGTTCCATACTTTTTATTCATTCTAAACTATCCTGTATAATCTATCTTCTTATACCATAGAATATATTTTAATCTGCTTAATATAAAGTTCCTGTACCATCTCTCTAATCATCTTTCCATTCTCCTACATATCTATCACCATTTATATAAAAATGCATTCCTTCTCCACATTTCTTATTCTCAACCCAATCTCCTATATATAATTCCCCATTTTTATAGTAAAGCTTACCTTTTCCATGTTTTTAGTGATTCTTCCATTATCCTTCATAACGATTTCCTGACGCAAATTTATATGTTCCTTTACCATGACGTTTATCATTCAAAACCTCACCTTAATATTCATCATCATTTGAATAAATTATATGTTTTTACAACTTCTAATTAACTTCTTATTTAGATGATTCACCATAAAGAAACTTTAAAAAATTCATTTATAATTATTCCTATCTAAAATTCTTAAATAACTTAAATAAATAGATAAACATATCTAATTTTATACTTTTCAATAAGAATATTCAAATGTATAATTATATATACATATATATACTTGAAATCAAAACTAAAAGGATAAAGAATTTCCTACTTATTTGTCTAACTGTTAAAAGAAATCTATATAATTATCAACTTATTTCTATACTTTTTAGTTCATTATTTGGATTAAAAAGTGAGAATGTACTAGATGATGATGATTATGATGCTGATTCTTGTTTTCCAAATAATCTTTATGCTATCTAACTTTTCATAAATGGAGAATTTAAAAATGATGATGCGATTTCATCAAGATTAAATACTTTCCTTTCTGTTATATTATTTAAATCTAAAGTCTATTATTATTATTATATTTTAGCACTTGATACTTAACCACTTCCAAAATGAGTTGAATGACAAGGCTGAAATAATTTATTTTATGGAGTATTATTAAATGGATTTAAAGAACTATTTGCTATATTTATTGTTTATTCTTCTTCTTTCTAACTATTATTAGATTTATATTATTCCTTATCATATTGAATTTAAGATTTGATTTTTGATTTTACTTATCTCAAATGTTTTGGTACTCCTCCAACACTTACAGGAGTCTTATTCTCTTTACATATACTCTTTTTCTTCTCTCCTTTAAATTTTGGAGAATTTCTATTATGTACACTATCAAATTAACTTGAATGATGAGATGATCGTTAAGTAACTTATCTTGTACTATTCTCACGTTATGATAAAGGATTTATCTCTGTTTATGAATTATTTCTCGGTAAATACTTTGGAATTATAGGTTGTTAATCAATTGTTTACTTTCGTTATCCATAATGTTAAGATTCATTGTTAATTACTTAATGATTATTATCACTATACTAATTCCATAATATTGATTTGCTAAATAATTTACTTAAATATTACATTTCTGAATCATCTAAGTGATGTTTAAAAGGTACTACCTTTTTAACATTTTATTATAATGGAATTTATTCAGTGATTTTTGGTGTTACTTTAGGAGGCATTAATTTAGGTTGACTATGATATTTAATCTATTATTCTGGTTAAATATGTTTCTCTAAAGAGAGAACTTTATTTCTTAAATTTTTTAATTCTTAATGAATAGACTTTTCCTTAAATGAATCTAAATCAAAAATCAAAAATTACTCGCTAATAATTTGATTGCTTCTTGATTTATATCTTCTAATTTTTGTTTAACAAATCCTATACCAAGAATGAGTAAGTATTTAATTAATTTATCATTCTTGATTAGTTTGTATTCATCTACAAATTTATTGAAGTGTTTCAATTCCATTTTTATTTTTAACAGTTAATTTATTAAATGCTAAGGGCAACATATGAACATATTATTCATGTAGAGTCATTTAAAAACATAGATCTCTTTAATCAAGGACTTTATTACTTAAGATTTATGATAAAATCAAATGGAGAGTAAGCAACTCCTTATAATTATTTTGAAACCAATAATAATAATAAGAAAAAGGAATCTTGGCAACCAAGTTAAATAGATGAATAATATTTTTAAACAAGAACATTCATGATAAGATTTCAAGAAGAAGAAGTAGAAATAGATGAAAGTTGTATTTTTAAAATAGAAGTATCAGCATCACCACATTATGAACATGAATTCAAAATAATATGTGAATTAATGTGTGCAGATTTAGCCAAAATTGGTGGTCCTCCAAATGAAGAATCATTATTTAAATGTGTAGCTACATATTAAGGAAGAATTTGTAATTCTTTTAAAGGTGTACATGAATATGTTCCAATAATGTTTGATAACAATCATTTTTGTTAAGTTCATTGCACTATTAATTCTAATCTCTAAGATTTTAAATTTCGTTTAAGTGAATTTCAAAAAGCTAATAGTTCTAAAATATCAATTCAACCTAAGACTTTTACAGAATTCTTACATAAACACACTAATAAATTTACTAAAAGTTAAGAATTTTTCGATTACTATATTGGATAATTAAGATTAACAAGTGAATCACTTTAATAATAAGTTGCTAAACTTTGTGGTTAATTAAAATTATACGATGAGTTATCAAAATTACCAACTATACCTAAATTCTCTTATATTTAATATTAAGAATCCTCTATTATTAAAGAAAATATTCATACTAAAGATAATATTCTTATATCAGATGTTTTAAATTTAAAAAATATTAGAGATCAAAATTTATTGTCTACTTTAATAGAAAATGATATTAATTAATATTCATCAGTATTATTTGAACTATAAAACCTGCTTATAAATATCATATAAAATAATTCAAAGTAATATCGAGTGTTATTATAATAAGATTATTAAGTAAAAATTAAAGATAAATGGGGAGAAACTTATTTTAGAGAAATCATTAAATGTAATTCTTTTTCAAATGGAACTTTATGTCAAAAATAACATTAAGAAGTAAGTGATTAAATAAGAAGAAAACCAATAATTATGGAATAGTAATTGGATATAATTGATGAGAATCTCTTCTCAGATTAAAAATAAGCTACAGTATTATTTGAAGAAATCTATTAAATTAATTAAGCTTTAAATCAATAAGAAAAAATATTACATTTAATCGTTTTAGTACATGGATTTTAAGGAAATTCTTTAGATATGAGATTAATTAAGAATAATCTTTAATTATAATATCCAAATCATCATTATTTAATGAGTAGAGCAAATGAAGATTTGACTGATGGTAATCTCTCAGATATGGGTTAGAATTTGGCTTAAGAAGTTAAATAATATATAATAGATTGGATTAAAAATAATCCTTTTCGTATTAGTTTTATAGGTCATTCAATGGGAGGTGTTATTGTTAGAGCTGCTTTACCACATTTAAATGAATTTAAAGTTAATATGAATACTTATATCTCATTATCTAGTCCTCATTTAGGATATGGTTACAATAACAGTTTACTTATTGATGCTGGATTATGGTTTCTTAAAAGAATGAGAAAATCAGTCTCATTATAGCAATTAGCCATGACTGATGCTGAATAAATAGAAAATACATTCCTATATTAATTGTCAAGATAGGAAGGCCTAAATTGGTTTTAGAATATCTTATTTGTCAGTTCAGCATAAGATTCATATGTGCCATTTGAAAGTGCCAGAATTTCTAAAAATTTTGAAAGAAGCGATTAAGTATCTTTATTTAATAATTATTAAGAACTCTAGAAAATATGAAAAAATGGTTGATAATATTTTTAAAGGAATGAGAGCAACTTAAGTTAGAAGATTAGATGTTAATTTTGTTTTGAATGAGTAATTATATTTATTATATTAATTAGAAATCGAACAATTGACAATATGATTGGAAGATCTGCTCATATCATGTTTTTAGAGAATCAATAATTATTAAGAATGTTGGTAACTTGTGTAGATGATGTATTTAATTGACTTTTTATCTTTTATTTATTATTAATTACTAAATAATTTATTAAAAATCAGTGAATCATATAGAAATTTTTATACAAAACAATTCTCATTAAAAGATAATTAATCCTTATTATTTTCTAATATTATAAGTTATTATACTTTACAATTAATCATATACTATATTTGTAGGCTAAAAAAACGAAAAAATAAAGAATTTTGTAAATAAGTTTTAACTATATTATTAACATATCCTATTTGTAAGAAAGCTGAGATTCTTATAATCAAAATTAGACAGAGATTGCTTACCTAAGTAGAAAATCATAAATTTCAACAGATTCAATTCTCATATTATATATGATTTTGGATTTTACATTTTGGTACTAAAGATTTTAATTATAAATATACAAGATTAAATCTAGTATCATGTTCTATAATTTATAAGCATTAGGTCTTATTAATTGAATTAAATTTGAATAATTAATATTATATTCAATTTTATTATTTAGATTTAAATGAATTAGATATCTGATTCTATGGATGTAAATGTTATAGATATTATAATAGAATATTTTAGGATAATTTTATTAATTGTTATTTAGGTATGGTAATTTAATTGATAAAATTAATAATAATAATTGATATAAATGAAATATTAGGAATAAATTTTATTTTTGATTAGTGGTAGTACATTAATCTATTTTGCATATGAAAATGATTATGATAATATAAAGAATAGATACAGAGGAGTAATTGGAAGCATATTATTTATATGTATGATGGGTTCATTAAGATCATATGATGGCCCAATAAAACGGTTTTAGGGATATTGGAGATTTATGTTTTGGTTAGGAGTCTGTTATAATGCTTTTCTAATATTTATAATATTTTAGAATGAGAATGAAGCAAGATAATTAATGAAATTGGGTGATAATAGTTTAGGGAAATCAGTAACAAAAGATATGCATACTTATGATGATAATTGTGAATTTGTATTAGTTAATATAGTGGATAATTTAGATCATTATTTTTTATTGCATTGTTTGAATTGGTTTTTGTTGTCATTTTTATTAAGAGATGCATGGTTATTAAATTTCTGGTAATTATTTGATGAGATAATTGAATTATCTTGGTAACATATTTTACCTCATTTTAGAGAATGTTGGTGGGATCATGTATTTTTAGATGTATTAATAGGTAATACCTTATTTATATTTTTGGGATTATGGGTAAGTAAGAAATTGGGAATAGAATAATTTGATTGGTTAGGTAGAAAAAATAAATCATTTACATAATGGTTAGTTTGGCATGATTATAAATATTTTGGAGCAACATTTGGTACTTGGTTAGCAGTAACTATTAATTTTTTAACTGGATTTTTCTTAATGAATTAATTATGGGTTCCTCCTAAATGTTGGATGGTATCATATAGATTATTTGTTTGGTTTGGAATGGGAGTACTTAGTTGGTAAGAATAATGGAATGATTTAAAAGGAAATTAAGAATAATCAGGATAATGTCGATATTTAGTTGTATGGACTCTTTTTGCAGAAATATTTATCAGTATTAAATTTTTAAAAAATGCTGGTAATATATAATATGTTGATACACCATATTATATATCTATAACATGGATTACAACCATTATTATCAGTTTTCTAGTTTATTTAATAATGAGAATCAAAAATTAAAGAATATTAAAAGTTAAAGCTTTGTGAGTATTAATTATAAAAAATAATTTATATAAATAATTATAAATGGATTATTGTATAAGAAAGACAGAAATGACAGATAATAAAGAAGATGATGGTTACTATCCATAATAAATTATTAGTTACATTTGCTAGTTATGAATGGGAAAATATTAAAGCAACTACTGCATCATAATTACCTACTTGTCGTAATTGCCACACTGCTACAACATTCAAACACTATATGATAATATTTGGAGGCAAGGAAGGAGAAGGAAGAAAGAAGTTTTGTAATGATATTCATATTTTAGATTTAAAAAGATTAAAGTAATCTATTATTTCTTAAAATTTAGTTGGACATCCTAAATTAAAATTAATGGATCAATACCAGATGTAAGAATGGGACATAGTGCCTAAAATTATTAAGATAAGATTATTTACTATGGAGGATGGAATGGTTATACAGTATTAGATGATATTATAATGATGACACCAAGCGAATAAATGAATATTGTTATAATAGATTGGTAATAATTAAAATCTGAAAATACTCCTCCTAAAAGACAATTTCATACAGCTAATATATGTGGTGATTTTATGTATATTTTTGGTGGAGGAGATGGTAAAATGTGGTTGAGTGATCTTTATAAATTTGATCTTCTTAAATGTTATTGGACTTAAGTAGAAACAACAGGATAGAAACCTTAAGGTAGATTATAACATAGTTCAGTGATATATGATCATAAAATTTATATATTTGGTGGTGAACCTGATCGATCTCATTAATTAAATGACTTATATTAATTAGATATTGAAAATAATGTATGGACAAGGTTATAACCAAAAGGAAGTACACCATCTCCAAGAGTAAGTGCGTCAGCTGTAATGATGAATAATAAAATTTATTTATTTGGAGGATATGATGGATAACAATGGAGAAATGATGTATTTATGTACAACATTACAGAAAATCAATGGGAATATATTGTAATTAATAATTAAGATAATTAATCAAATTTTCGTGGATAAACTAAAGAGAATACTTCATAATAATCATTACCTCCAAGACCTAGATGTAGACATTCGGCTATTGCATATAAAAATACCATAGTTATCTTTGGAGGGAATGATAGTGAAAAATCATATAATGATGTTTTCATGCTGAAATAATAATCAATTATTAAATTAGCTGATTCAACATTAAAATAAGATTTTTCAAGCATTCTATTTTCTCCTATTTTAAGTGATATAATATTCTTTATCGATAATCAAGAAATTCATGCTCATAAGATTATTTTAGCATCACGTTGTGAATATTTTAAGACTCTCTTTTTAAATGAATAATTTAATTTAAGTGATAAATTATCTATTACTGATACAACTATCAATGTTTTTAAAGGTAATTCTCATATAAATATTTTATTTAGCTACTTTATAGTATATTTATACTGATGAAGTGTTTATTGATTCTTATATTGTTTATGATTTATTAGCATTGGCTGATAAATATATGTTATAAAGACTTAAAAATATGTGTGAAGATCATTTAGTAATTATTTAAATATCATTTATTTAGATTAAAAATATTTCACTAAAAAATGTAATCGATGTAGTTAATTTGGCTGATAAATTCTCTGCTCAAGAATTAAAAGCTAATGCTATGATCTTTTTATTAGATAATAAATAAAAGATACTTAATACCCAAGATATAAATATGTTATCTAAAGAGATATTAATAGAATTGTTGAAATTTACTAAATGAATATATTATAATCATATAACTATCAAGTAGTTTATCATCATAGCCAAAATCATTAGTTAAGGAATGAATAACCATTTCATTCTTAACTTTGCCACTATAACAATTGTACTTATCAAATAAAGGATTACCATTACTAATAAAAATATATTATCACCACCATTTAATATATTTATTATTGCTACTGATGATAATAAGAAATGAACATTAATCAAATAATTTACTTTTGGTCTTATTATTTATGCTATTGATTAATTCTTAAATTACTCATTTCAATTACATACCTCATTTTATTGTTATTATTATGGAATATCTTCTTCACTTTTACATTACTATTACTCTTCAGCCTCTAAAAATTACATCATTCTCACCTTCAATAACAAATTAATTTCTTGGCAAATTCTATGATTTATAGCTATTCATTCTAATCTTTTTATTCTAATGTACATTCTCTTTCCATCTAAATTTTGACAATACTGCATAACCAAATAAAACCAAACTACTCATTAACCAAAAGAATTCAATAATCTGTCCTGCAATCATTATATTTAATTAACGAATGAATAAATCACAAACTCTAAAATAACTAGTATTAACATATATTCTTTTCTAACTTACAATCATAATACTAAACTTATCTATTCATTTCTCAGCATACTATATTCATTTTATAATTTTAAAAAATTTTTTGATTTTATAAGTACTGAGCTTTGATGTTTTTTCTCCATTATATTAATATAGTATTTTTTTAAATCCCTAATATTCTAAAATTACTATTATTTTGAGTATTTTTTTAGAAAGAAAATTAAAGAAGTTTTCAAGATAATAAAAGAATGTATTGACAATCAGAAGTTGAAGAAATTAAAGAAAAAATAACAGAAAAGCTCATTTATTGTTTAAATTTTTTCATAACGAATTTGCTTTTGACCTCTTTCTATTTTATACATTAAAAAATGAAAATAAAACTAGTAAATAACAATAAAAAGAAGGCTTTGTATTTAATAAAAATGGGTGCTTGTTGAAGAATAAATTAATTTGTTGGACTTTTAATTTTCTTTAATATTGATTGATATAATCTATATAAATTTAATTTATTTTAAATGGGACTGGCTTGTTCTTCCAGCAATCATAAGCCACAAAATTAGAAAATAAACGAAATCAAATTACCAATTATGATTGCAGAGAATTTCATTCATATCATAGGACAGTTAGAATTATCTAACGATATCCCTGATGATCTTCGTTATAATTTAAATCAATTAATTATACTGAGGAGCAAATTGGCACATTGTATCGCTCGTCTACAGAAACGATACTCTCATTATCACTTTAAAGAATTAGAAAATGAGCTTGCCAATTTGATTCATTTTGTGGACATTGTGCTTTAAGATTTTTAGCTAGAAGTGTATTTTCCATTAGTATACTCATACTTGATAGAATAATTAGAGATACACAAATAAAATTTGAAATACGAAGTATGAATATGAGAGTGACAATATTAAATTAAATTTATAAATTTAAAATAATAATTATACATTATTTTACTTATCTTAGACTGCCTAATAACTTCTTTAACAATACTAATAATAATAATATTATGTTGTGTGTATTGAGAATCTGTTTCCAGAATTCAATTAAATGTTTTTTTTTTCAAATTAAATATTTATTTAAACACTTTTTTGTTATATATTTTCACATACTAATTGTGATAATCACTTAAAATTATATGTAAAAATCTCATTTCAAAATTAAAATTTTTGAGATTTGAACTAAGTTTTGAAAATTTTTATAGTTATGATAGTAAATTATTTTTAAATGAAGATTTTTTAGAAATAATTTCTTTTTTTGTTAAATATAGGAATAATATAATGAATTCTGCAATTTTAACATATTTATATGGTCATGCATAATTTTGAATTGCAATATAAATTTTTTTGATTAATATAATAAATGTAATAAATCACAAATTGTTATTGCTTTCTAAATAATTATGTTCAACTTTTTTAGAACGTTGAGCCTATTTTTCTTTTCTAGCAATTTTTCTAAAGTAGGGATCTTCTTAAAAGGATTTCAATTTGAAATTTAATGCAGCAGAATTAATACTATATTTAATAAAAGTTGGAGGAGGTCCATCAAATGAGACTTTTCCTACAAAACTATCACATCCAGCACAACATAAATCTCTTTCTTCCTAAAATATTAATATTAATAGTTATGATTACTTTAATAGTAGATTCCTCTAATTTAACGCTATTTGGGATGTGATTCCAGAATTATGCATATCCTGTAGTTGATTTATATTTAGTATCAAATGAAAATAATTGATTATCACAATGTCTACAGTGATAAGTACCAACTTCTTGATTCTGATGAAATAAGTTATTAAATTTACAAACCAATATTCTCCTGTATAAGGTCTTTCCATTCCTTTTCCAGCAGCAATCCAATATTGATGAGGAGTAAGTGCTAAACGATCCACTTTGATTAATTTGCTGAATGCCTAGTAATATAGCCGCATCATAATTAAATAAATTAAATTAATATAAATTATAGGAATGTTAAAAATCAAACTTTTTTTTTAATCTTTTCTCAATGTGATGTATTAAAATTAGAGTGATTACAACAATCAAAACACTTACAGTTTTGAGTGCAATTTAGATTTCTTAAAAAGCATTCGCAATATCTTTTTCTACATTTAGATTTAGTGCAAGAACATCCATATATAACATCTAATTTGAATAGAGTATCTCTTGGAATCTTTCTATTTCTATAACATTTTTGATTCACATATTCAATAGCTTTGCTTCTTTCTTATATATTAAATTAATTATTCTAACATTCTTCTGAACACTGACATTCAGGTAAACACAGTCTTCCACTATGAAAACAACGACAATATCTTTTGAGACATCCACTATTCTTGCAATTACAAGGTTATTAAGTATTTTCACTGAACTTATTTGAATTTTTCTTTTAAAATTTAAATGCTTGTGTTTCTTAAGTCTTTTATTTTTAAAGCCTATTAACACATTCTAATTGTTTATCAACATGCTATTAACAATTTTAATTATTCTAGCATTAGATTATTTGGTTGGATAATTTTTAATCATGAGTTTAGTCATGTTTTTCATTTTCTTAACTCAATGTTCTACTTGATTTAAGAATAAAAGATTCTTAATCAAATTAATCAAGGTAAGAGATCTGTCTACTTAGAAATGGTTGATTGTTTTCTTATGAATAGATGTCAGAGAGGATTTAAGGAGATTTGATGAAATCTTAGAATTAATAATTATTGATTGCTTAAAGTAATCTAGGTGAATCCATTAACATATGATTTTAAGGGCTATTACTTTATCTAAATGAAGATTATTTAAATTGCCATTTCTCATTAGACATTATTCTTATATTAATATTAATATTAATAATTAATAATTAATTAATGGACCATTAAAATAATTATACAAAGCAAAAGGATTTTGCTGGTATCTTGTGCTCGTAATATGCCAAGTGCTTTTGAATCGCAACCCGTAGACCAGACCATAAACAAACTCGACACCCATTTAGAAGGTCTTTATTGACCCGAGTTAGAAGATCTATCAAGACATAGTAGTCAATGAGTATCTAGAGTAACATTCAATTGTGGTGGAATCAAATTAAATCGAAGTGCCATAACCATTTATAGAGTGGAAAGATTGCCAATTTCCAAATTAATTGAATAAGCGTATATCACTTAAAGCCTTTTAAAAACCCACACCAATCCAAGCATCAGGTATACATTTACATAATTACTTTTAGTATTTCCTATTATAATGTCTGGACATGATTTAATAGGTATAGCATAAACAGGATCTGGTAAAACTATTGCTTACCTTCTACCTGGTTTAGTACATATAGAATGTCAACGTAAAAAAGGAGGTCCTATGATGTTAATCTTAGTACCTACTAGAGAATTAGCTATGTAAATTTAAGGTAATAAAAGAACACATATTTTTAGAACATATTTGTTATTTTTCTGAGGCTTACAATTTAAATTCTGCTTGTATATATGGAGGAGCTGATAAAAGACCTTAAGAAATGGCTTTAGCAAGAGATCCTGATATTGTTGTTGCAACTCCAGGAAGATTAATCGATTTCTTAGATGCTTAAGTCACTAATCTTCATAATGTTACATATTTAGTATTAGATGAAGCAGATCGAATGCTTGGTATTATATATATATATTTATTATTAGATATGGGATTTGAATAACAAGTCAGAAAAATTGATAGCTATATTAGAGAAGATAGATAAACTGTATTCTTTTCAGCAACTTGGCCAAAAATGGTTTAAAATTTAGCATGCGATCTTTGTCATAATGAACCTATCAATTTGTATATAGGTAGCTAAGAAGTTACTATTAACAAAAATATCACTTAAGAAACAATATGTTTGTATTAAAATGAAAAACAAGAAGAGTATAAGATTTTAAATGTATTTTTAGATTACTCTATATAATGGAAGAATTATCTAATAAAGACAAGGTTTTAATTTTTGTTGAAACAAAAAAGGATTGTGAAGATTTAGCCAATTATTTATCAGAACATGGATTTTTTTGTTTGTCTTTACATGGTGATAGAACACAATAACAAAGAGATTATGTTATGAAAGAATTTAAAGCTTCAAGATGTAAATTGTTATGTGCTACTGATGTTGCATCAAGAGGACTTGATGTTAGAGATATTAGTTTAGTTATTAATTATGATTTCCCAAATTAAATTGATAATTATGTACATAGAATTGGAAGAACTGGAAGAGCTGGTGATAAAGGAAGAAGTATAACAATGATTACTTTGGATACTATGGATCCAAGAGTTGCCAAATAATTAGTTGATGTATTAAATTTAATTTATTTTAGTTATTAAAAGATTCTGAGTAAGTTGTAAATGAAGATCTTTATGATTTTGCTTATTCAAGTATATTTTTTAATCTCTAACTTAGAACCTTATCAAAAAGGCAAAAGACCAAATCAAAGAAAAAAACTAAATGATAAACCTATTACCACACAACCTAAAAATAATAATAATCCTAATCCTAATAATAATATTAATACCTAAAAACAATAACAGAAGTAATTTAATTAGAAACCATTTTCTCCTGTTAAATAATCAACATCAAATATGCCCCCTCCCCCAGAATTGAAAAAAGCCTTTTCAGACGCTCCGGTGTTTGGCTTTTTCAATTCAAAAAAAGAATGATATATACATATTTAGATATTAAATTATAGCAACCAAATATCCTATTATTAATATATTTAAGAGATTTTTTGTCATTATTAAAAAATTATTAAAACATCAATTATTGTTCAATATTAAAATAATTATTGTAATCTATATTACATTATAGTGTCTAAAAATATTTATCAATAATTAAATAATTTATGGGAAATTGTTTTAAAGAATATAATTATCGGTCTTCTCTATCTGATTGTTCAAGAAAAGAAATATTTGAACCAGACCTTAATGATTAAAAACCATGTCATAAAAGAATAAAGTCACGATTGTTAAGCTAAGTTGAGAATATTATTATAAAAGAAGACCCAGAAATTGAGTAAGATCAATATGCATCTGATGAGCTAAATTCATAATTTTAGATTGAACATAGTTCAACTATTAATTTTACTAGGTTGCCACAAGGTATTAAGATGGAAAAACATCACTAAATAAAATTATTTAATTTACACACTTAAAGATATTTACATTCTCATGCCATCAAACATGAACATAATAAATCTAATGAAGTAAGTACTTGCAATAATTGTAATTATGAATATGATTGGTGGTAAATTATATGGATTAACAATAAAACATATATTTATCATCCAATTACTCAATGTTATTTAAAATGTTTGCAAATTGTAAATGACATAGGAGAAGTTGGTTGCTTACAAAATGATATGGATGAATGGGAAATCCTTGGAGATGATGAAGAAATTAAATAATATTCAATTATTAGTATTTTTATTATTCTTATATATTAGAACTTAAACACCTATGTACTGGACTTTATTTGCATACATAACCTTACTAAAGTAAGATTGAAAATCAACATATTGTATCTGTCTGTAAATCAGAAGTAGCAAATGCTTTATGGAGAATTACAGATATGCAATGATTTGTTATTCATGTATTTATTTTGCTATTCATTTTTGGTTTTGACTTAAATGTGTTTCCAATAATGCCTTCGCCTAATTCTCAGAGATCAATCCTTTGATATCGTAAAGTAATTAATATTTTTTATTGTTTATTGCTACTTATACTGCAGAGCTCTACTATCCAATTTTAATCAAAGTTCTACAAGATTCCTTAATTAATAATATTAGTAGATACTTCAACATCAGGCATTTTCATAATAATTTAAATTCCTCTCTCTTCTTGATCTGCTTTCATTAATAATTCTGCAACCAATTCATAAGGTATTAAAATAGATTTTTTATTTTTTTCTGACATAATTTTATCTAATTCATCCCATTTTTTATTATTTATTAATGTTTTAACTTTTGTCAATAGAATTCTATTAATAATATTAATCATAATTAATACCTACGATCAGGAATTTTATATGTTTTAGCAAATTCTTTAGCAAATTCTGGTTTATCTTTAATGAAAAAAGCTTCCATAATAGAATTGATTGGTTTTTCATCCATAATATGTTGATTTGGTTTTTTTCTTATTTTTTCAACTTCTGATTTCAAATCTGTTAGTATAATAATTTATTCAGCAATAATTCTTTTATAAAATTTATCTGTTGGATCTTCTCCAAAATACTTTTATGCCTGATCTAAGAACTTAATTTTTTCTTCCAAATTTTTTTATTAATAAGCTTAATTAATTGCAAATAATCCACATTCATCAAATTTCTTGAAATATTGTAAATATTTTTACAAATATTTATTATCAAAATGTTTTAAATAATAATCTAGATGAGCCTATGAGATAGGATTTTGAGATAATGCGTTAAATTTATATGTTTCATTCATTTCTGTTTATAAAAATTTCAAAATAACAAAATAAATTAAATTAGAATCTTTTGAAATGATAGCATCTTCTAAAGCTTTTTCATAATAAGAATTATTATTTGTAGATTAAAAATTGGCCATCCATATTAAAACTGGAATTCTTTTAGCTAAAATTTATTCATTATTTAATAATTTTAAAGCCAAAGATTATTTACCAATTTCAATTGATTTTTAAGCAATTTATGTAAATGAAACTCCTCTTTCTTCTTTAATTTTTTCTTTAATAATTTCACACAATTTATCATCATCCTATTATATTTCAACTTTACAACATGCCCAATGTGTATAAATAGAAGCTCTTTATTTAATTTAAAATTTAAGAAAACTAGAAATTTCAGTAGCTAAATAATGTAAATTATATTTTAAAAGTAATCCTATCATAATATCTGGGATTTTAATTAATTATAAAACTTATTCATATGTAATTACTCTTCCTCCAACTCCACCACTTCTTCTTAATGAATTAACTACTCTTAAATATCTAGCAGTTTCATTAAAAATATTAGGATCAAGATTTTAAGTACCTAAAAATATTTTACCATAATTTCCTGCTTTTAATAATTTAATTTAATATTCAGGATTGATTTCAAATTATGCACATTTAATACAATCACTAACAGCTTCACTTAATAATTATTTACTTGATCTTAATTCATCATCTTCTATAGGACTTTTTGATTCAAATGATTCATAAGCACTATATAATTAAGCACCAGGTTTAATTGATAATTATTCAAATACATTTATATATGAATCTGGTAATTTTCTTAATATTTCATTTTTTTTTTATGTTAAAACTCTCAATCCATCAAATTCAGATCTTAAAGAAAAATGTTAATTACTCATTTTTATTTTTGTATAAGAATCATTAGATACTAAAACTATGTATTGTTACAATTATAAAACAACACAATCATCTCCACACCAATACATATTTCTTGGTCGTTCTAAAATACTAAGATCTTTTTCAGCTGATTCTTCTTTTTATACATCTTCTTCCTTTAAATCTACAGGCATTTAACGATATTCTGAAGATTCAAAATAGTTTTAAATAAAAGCAATAATCCATCTCTAACCATAGTACTATAATAATGCTAATGTTTTGTAAGTAGGTGATAGACTTAACATTTTAATATTTCTAAGATCTGGAAGTTTTTTATCAATATCATTCATTATTTTATCCTTATTATAATATATCTTCCATTTTTCATTCTCTACTATATGTAATATACCTCCTTCTGGGTTTGCTATTAATAATTCAACCTTTCCACTAGATGATTTTTAAGATGGAATAATTGACCAATGTTCTGGTTATTTTGTAAGTTAAGATGCTTTAAATTATTATACTTCAGGTTCATGAGCATTGTTTACATAATAAAATTCATAATTCATTGTCATTAATACAAAACCATTATTAACAACTAGTGCTCTTTGTATTGGATTTTGCTTGAATTATTCTCCTAAATCATGGTTTTTCTTAGTTCCCTTAAAAGGATCAATTATATAGTAAATACCAGTTCCTTTTAATAATATTAAATGTTCATCATCAAGAAAATCAAATAATGGAATCTAATTTCATTATTTTATTTTTACTTTATCTGTCTCTTTATATACAATTCTAGACATTATTTTGCCACTATTAGAAAAGAATACTATTGAATCTTTTAAAATTTCATCTGTACGCATTAGAATAACCTAATCATAATTTTTTGTAGCTGCTAATGGACCACCCCATTTAGCAATAGCAATGTGCTAATAGTAAAAGTCAAGGTTCTTTTGTTCACCTGTTATAGGATTGAATTAATGAAACTTATAGTATTTTTTATTTAATTCTTTCCATTGTGCACTTGGATCCATAAAAATATTAATATTAAAAGTATGACCACAATTCTGAAAAATGAACTTATAACAATATTGTATATATAGAATATATGAAAAAATTAAATGCGCGCCGATTTGTGAGCATATATATCTGAAATTCAAAAAAAAGAAGAAAAATTTATCATATAGTTTTTTTTTTACCTATTTGTCCCTTATTATTTTATAAATGAGTGATTTAGAAAGTGAGAATGACCCAACAAATAGATAATCAGATAGACTACGAGAAAAGTAGAAGAGAAAGTATAACATGTTAGGTACATTAGTAGGTACAACTTAATGGAAGTAGAAAACTACCTTTAAGAGTAAAATGGAATTAGTAATGAAAGAAGGTCTGCCAGAGCGATCAAGAGAAATTATGCTGCTACAATGAGTGAGGAAGAAGAGTCAATGAATGAACCAACTTTAGAGAGTGAATCAAGGCGTATATTCGTTCCTGAGATTGATCAAATCTTGTGGCGAAAAACTGATCAACATACAGGGACTCTTTAATATTTAGTTAAATATAAAGATAGAAGCTATTTCCATACAGAATGGCTTGACGAATTGAGAGTATGTTCAATTTATTCATAATGGTCAGATCCTTAACGAGAAGAATGGAAAGTAGAAAATCAACAGATTCAATAAAGTGTTTGATAAACGCATTATGGAAGAATTAGATGAAGTTGTTGAAGCTCAGTATTTTGATCCTGCATTTTAAGAAGTTGATCGAGTATTATCATGTACAGAAATCTTTCCCATTGTTCATCCAAAAAAAGGATCAGAAATGAAAGGTAAGTGGGCAGAGAGTCTAACAAAAGTTATTTCTCATCTGCTAAATTTTAGTAGGAATTAAATTCATTATGGTGTATACTTTTTAGAGAGTAAAGCCATTCTTGATTTTGGCACCATAAATAATCGTTTATATTTGGGATAATACAAATCCAACAATGATTTTTGGAATGAATTAGGATAAGTTTTTAAAAGTGCAAATTAGGAATTTTAAGAAAATAGTGAAATGAGATAAATTAGTGATACTTTGAAAGAGTGTTCTATAATTCTTTATAACTTATGGTATGAAGAAGCTAAAAAAAATTATGAATAAAAATTATCACAACAAAGGTACATCAATGAAGAAGCTTATAAAAATAAAGTTAATGATGATCACAGAAATGATATCATGCCTGAATTAAAGAAAGAAAAGATAAATGAATTAGTTCTTAATGTCTTAAATATTATTGATGAGAAATAATACACAATTCAAGAGAATCTAGCAGAGATTGAATCTATTGTACAAGATTAGTTAAACATAAAATTAGAAATAAAGAATGAAGATTAATTTGATCTTGAAGATTATTTAAGATGTTAACTGTAATAAAATGATGTAGATATTGATTAAGAAATGTAATTGGAAATGCTTGATTTTTAATAATAAATGGATTGTGTAGATCCAGATATCGAAGCTTGGAATCCTGGTGAAAAATCTTTTGATTGGTTATAAACAGATTTATTAGAAATAAAACTATTGAGTGAATAAGAAATACAAAAATTATCTTAAGAACCTGATCGATTATATTTAGTGAAATGGAAACATTTATCTTATTTAGAAGCTACATGGGAACCTGAATCTTTAATAGATTGTAGATAAAAGATTAAAGAATTTAAATAATTCAATAGAAGTTTAGATAAAGAAACACGAAACTGGTAGATGCAATAGAACTAAAATCATAAAATGTTAGTAGATTTAGAATTAGGTATTAAAAAGAAGAAACTATCAAATCTATAAATTACAGAGATTAGAAATTAATTGTATTTTTTGAATCAAAGAAAACCACCTCATGAATATACATAACTTACATAAACTATTTACAAAGATAAAAGATTATTGAGAGACTATTAACTTGACAGTTTAAATTGGTTAATAAGAGCTTGGTATGAAGACAGAAATGTTATTTTAGCTGATGAAATGGGATTAGGTAAAACTATATAGACAATTTCATTTTTAAATCATTTATATAATTTTGAAAATTATAGAGGACCTTTCTTAATCATAGCTCCATTATCTACATTATAACATTGGAAACGTACTGTAGAAGAATGGACTAATTTAAATGCAGTATTGTATTATGATCAAGAAAGTAGTGCTGGTAGAGCATTATGTAGATAATACGAATTTTTTTATACTGATATTAGTATGAAAGGAGTCGTACTTTAAGCATCTGAAATTTATAAGTTCTAGATTTTAATTACTAGTTATGAAGTTTTTATGCAAGATTTCTAAACTATTTTTATAAATGTTCCATTTTAATATATAGTGGTAGATGAAGCACATAAATTAAAAAATTCAAATGCAAGGATTCTGTAATCATTAAAGAAATTGTGTTGTTAAAGAACATTATTATTAACTGGAACCCCTATTTAAAATAATACTGATGAATTGTTTAGTTTATTAAACTTCATTGAACCATATGAATTTTCAAATTTAATTACATTTAAAAGAGAGTATGGATAATTAGAAACATCTGATTAGGTAGATAAATTGAATGTATTATTAAAACCTTATATCTTGAGAAGATAAAAGGAAGATGTTGAATAAATGATTCCTCCCTTATAAGAAACTATTATAGACATTGAAATGACTACAATTTAAAAACATATCTATAAAGCAATGTATGAAAGAAATAAGTCAATGTTAGAATAAGGATTTTCTTAATGGGCTGCTAATGCTGCTTCATTAAATAATTTAGAGATTCAACTTCGAAAATGTTGTAATCATCCATTTTTAATATAAGAAATGTAAAATGATCTTACAAAAGGATGTTAAAATAAGAATGATTATATTAATAAATTAGTCGAAAGTTCAGGGAAAATGATTTTATTAGATAAATTATTAAATAAATTTAGAAATGAAGGTAAAAAAATGTTAATTTTTTCATAATTTACAATGATGTTATCAATTTTAGAAGAATATTTGAAATTTAAATAAGTGAAATATGAAAAGATTGATGGATAGATAAAAGCAAGAGAAAGATAGAATGCAATAGATAGATTTAATGATCCTTTAAAAAAGAGAGAAGTATTTCTATTGTCTACAAAAGCTGGTGGATAAGGTATTAATTTGACAGCAGCTGAAATAGTAGTAATTTATGATTCTGATTGGAATCCTTAGAATGATGTTTAAGCAACAGCTAGAGCTCATAGAATTGGATAATCTAAAGAGGTTACAGTTTATAGATTAATTACTAAAGATACATATGAAGCAGAAATGTTTGAAAGAGCTATTAAAAAATTAGGATTAGATTAAGCTATATTTATGAGTGGTCAATTTAAATCATGTGAAAGTTCATTTAAAAATAATAAAAATGATAAAAAAATGAGTAAATAAGATATGGAAGTATTATTGAAAAATGGAATTATAGGTTTAATAAGTCATAATTAAAATGGAGATACATTTTAAGAAAAGAATATAGATGAAATATTAGAAAAGAATTCTAGAACTGCTAAATATTCTTTGATTAATGGTTCTTATACAGTTTCTAAATAATCATTTGTATCAGAAAAAACAGATAAATCAATAAGTATATAAGATCCAAATTTTTGGAAAATAATATTAAAAAGTCAAGAAAGTAGATGTTAAAAATTAAGTAAAATGTTCGATCTACATATGTCTTTATAAGAATAGAAAAAGTATATGGAAGAGGTAGGAGATTGCGTAAATTAATTAATAGAATCTAAATTAAGTTAATCTAATTATAGTACTGATGATGAATAAATATTAACAGATTTGTTGAATAAAATTAATTCATCCAATTATGCCAAAAATTATAGAGAATTAGCAATGAATTGGATATATGAATTAAGCAAACCATCTAGAAGAATAAAGAAATTAACAGACATGGATTTAGGTAGAAAATAACAAAGAACAGTTGAAATTTAAGGAGAAGATGCGAGAAGATTAGCATCAAAAAGTAAAGAAGAATTAATTAAAAAACTTTGTTATGTATGTGAAAGACCTAATTGTTCAATTTTTTGTATGGGTCATTGTAGAAGATCTTTCCATTAAGCTTGCAAAGATTTATTAGAAACTACTGAATATATTAATATTGAAGGACCTGATCAAGACTTTTTAAATAATCATTCATTCCCTGAACTTAATTGGAGTGAAGAATAGCTTAAAGAAAATCTTAATATAAGATATTCTTGTCCTGATTGTAGAAACTGTTTGGTTGTATGTTTACTATGTAAAACTAAAGGAACTTATCCACCTGAAAAAAAGTAAAAAGAAGAAGTTATTGCTTCTTCTGATGAAAATGATCCTCTTGAAGATAATAATGTGAGAAAGATTAAAAATAAATCAGCAATTTCTAAATGTTCTACTGCTAATTGCAATAGATATTTTCACTTAAATTGTATATAAGCTAATCCATTATCAAAGACTCTTGATTCAAATGTAGAATTATTTAGATGTCCTTCTCACGTTTGTGTATTTTGTAAAGTTAATTCTTCAAATACAACTACAGCTTTAATTCATTGTGTTCGATGTTGTAGATCATTCCATAGTAAATGTGCTCCTCCAGATGTGAAATCTAAAACTTAAAAGATTGGTAAGAAAGTTATGATTTGTGATCTATGTGCTAAATAAAAAGAAGAAAAATTTGAAGGCAAGATGATCGTAAAAATCTCAATAAAAGGATATTAAAAAAAATAAAAATAAGCTAAATTAGATTTTAAATAATTCGGAACAACTGCTAGAACTAGAAGAATTTATGAAAAGAAAAATGAAACAATGCCTAATAATAGAAGTTAATTAGATTCAAGTAGAAGCAACAGCCAAGATAAAATTGTTAAAAAGGTTTAAAGAAAATAATTCAAATAAGATATTCATCCTTATTCATATGAAGAACTAGGAATCATTCCTGTTAAGTATTTTGATTATTCAAAATACACAAATGTAATATATATTATTAATATTATTAGGATTGGTGTAGGTATTGTGGAGCAAGGTTTGCATCTAATTTTACAAAAGGTCCTTGGGGTTCAAGAACTCTATGTACAATTCACTATATCAATTGGGGATAAAAGAAACAATTAGATCTATCAGAACATAATGATTTACCTAAAAGTCCAATTAATAGAGATGATCCTACAGAACTATAATTCCTTCAAAGGTTAAAGTTATTTTTATTTCTTAGATAAAAAGCAAAAGATCCTAACTTTGATCCAAGAAAAGAACTTAACATCTATAATGACGAGTAGTATCAAATATTTAATAATGACTGAATAATGTATAATTATGACAAGAGCTACTAAAATTTGGTTCTCTTTTATAGCCACAATTATATTTTGTCTTATATTTATATATTTCTTCAATTTTTAGAAAGATATACTATGAAATCTGAGATCTGCTCTATCTTATTCATTCTCAAGACCTCATTTTACTGAGAGGGATACTACAAAAACACAAATAAATGCTTTTCAGACCATAAATTTAGAATATTTGAAAATAAAGTAGATTCTCCTTTTCTTCTTGGTGTCATATTTCTATAATAATGTAATTTTGATTCTGCAATAAAAAATATTTTCATTCTTATATATACAATTACACCCTTTTCCAAATATTCTATTTTTACATATTATTTTCTTAATTAAATTTAATCAATTTTTAAAGTCATTTCTTATTATATGATAACTTTAATTTTTGTTAATTAAAACAAGAATCAATTAGAAAAATTTTCTATAATAATTTTCAAAAGATATTAATTATAAAGAGAGGGATTATAATTAATTTAATTTCCAAACTCTGTTAATATATTTAATGATCTATAATTTTATATTTAGACTCTATAATATAGTTATTAATTTATAATGGATCACAATTATTAAAAATAATAGTATTATGCAATAAAAAAATATAATAATTTATCGATGTCTGTATGATTAATAAAGTTTAATATTTGAATATATTAAAAATATATAACTTTTATTCTAAATATATAGATATCATAATTAATCATCTTTTCATGCATTAATTAAACTTTTTATTTAATTTTAATTAAAAGCTGTGATATTCTGATTCAAGACTCTTTAACATTCTATTAGTAATTCTAAATCGTGAAAGGATAGTTTATTTTATTGATACATCATCTTTAATAGTTTTATCAAATTTCTAAATATATTTAATTAGTTCCTTTTCAGTAGTTATACTAAATATTTCTGATTTAATTAATTATCCTAGATAATGAAGAATCTCATCAAATTCAAGATTTAGTATTTATTATTAAATCAATGAGAATATATAAAATGTTGCTTTATAAAATCCTATTTTAGTATTCATTTTTACCTTTCCATTCTTCAGCTAAAAATAAATCCCAAATCACATTCAATATAGCTGATCTTTAACTATATTGAAATACATTAGAATATAAAGTAATAAACCAAGAAGCAACATAATAGGAGGCATCAATTTTTTAATCTTTTAAATGTTGAGATAATTCAGGTAAGAAAATACATAACAATCTTTCAAAGGCATAAAATCCAGTTTTCTAGTATATAAAAATGATATTACCAATTTTGAAAAGTCATTGATATATAATTCTTTAAAATAGAGATTCATCATTCTATCAAAAGCCTTATATGCAATTTCTTAATCTTAATATGTTAAATAAAGATATCCTGCTATATAATTCATACCTTAACAATATCCAACTTCTTAATTATAAAAGGCATAAATTCTTAACAAACTTTAAAGTACATTTGAATTAATTTTGTCTTTGTGAATGTGAAGACTTCTCTAAACATCCAATTTGATAGTTTCTTCATAAAGATTATTAACATCCATTTCAATTCCAACTTTTGTTTTCATTTCAACATAATCAATATTTAATGATTACAATTTTAATGCTTAAGACATTAATTTCAATCTTAATTTGTGAGTAGATTCCTCTGAAAATACTTATGAATTTCCTAAATAGAATTTTTTAATTTTATGTTTTAACTATTTATTAAAATTACTATTAAGAGTAAGTAATTTTTATGGTTTATCCTAAATAGATAAAAATCTAATTATTAATTATATATATACTTTAAACAAGCTCCACATCCTTATATAATTTTATTTTCATAATCATACAATTTCTTTCTTTCATATTTTTCAGTTTTATGTGTTAAAACAACTTTACCAGATTTAAAAAGTTTCTTCCATTAGGTATTGTGTAAATCTTCTTATTTTTCTAATAATTTAACTACATGATCCTTATCAATCTATTATTATTAAGATGCTATTTAAATGATAATTTCTGCAGATATTTCTGAAGGTAATTTAAGAGAATAGATAAATAAATTAATTTCATCCAATATCATATAGCAAATTTCACTTTCATTTACTTCTATCAAATTTGATTATTAGGTCCCAAAATTTTTGATCATTGACAATCCTTTTCCTATAATTCTTACACCTTTTTTTAAAATAGTACTTTATGTTTATTACATAATAGATTAAGCCTACTTTCTCTTTTCATCAACTTTTTTTGCACTTATGAATTAAAACAATTCTATCCATCTATCAACTTTAGTCCATAATGGAATGTCTGATAATTAAGAGGCCAAATTGACTCTCTCTTTACCATCTATTCTTACTATTCTTATTGCTTTTAATAATAAATCATAAATATCTTCAGATTCATAAATTTCATTCAAATCTACATAATTTAACCAATGTCTTATTAATTATAGTAACTCCATAAATTATTCAGTCGTTAGTGTTAAATAGAATTCTAAGATTACTATTACTAAATTTACTTGCTTATTTATCTTAAATTGATTTAGTATGTAATTTATTTAATTAATTTATAAAATGATTTCTACCAGATGATTTCTATAAAATCTACTTTATTTTTATTATTTATTCACATTTATCTGATAGATCAATTTAAAATAATTAATATAAATATTTATCCATTATCTTTTTTTCCTCTTCTGAAATTTTATCTCCCACGATAGTCCATTGATTTTGTACTTATTGTATAGGATGAACTTAATCATGATTTTAATGATTCTTCTTCCATTATTCATAACTTATAAATTCTTCTAATTAAAATTTAAATGCTTTGAATATAATCAAATTACATACAACCCTCTTATGTTTGCATTGTTTTTTCAATTAACTTTCTAATAGGTATCTTTGGATCTGTTTTCAACTTAAGTTCTAATTCAGATATTTTTTCTTCAAATTATGATTAATCTTAATCAAAAGGCAATAATTTCAATAATGAACTAACAGTCTACTTTGTAAACATAATTCTATATCATTATTTATTTTGTACCTACTCTATTCATTTAAACCAACATTTGTAAATATTTTATCCCATTCTTAATGAAAATGCTTCCATTTTTCATTTGTAATTTATAATAATTTCTTATAGTCTTTTTCCATGCCATCTGCTAGTTCTTATATTCTTAAAGAATTGTTGAATTATTTTTGAAAATCGTCTTTAGTTGCATTTCCTTTTTCAATATGATCTATCATTTATTAAGCTTATTAAGATTTCTACTCAAATAATTTCATTAATTTCCAATATTCTTCTTATGTTTTACACATTTCTTTTCTTGTTTCTGATATTTCTGCTATTTGATTTTTTGATTCACTATTCAAACTTCTATTTGTTTATCTAAAATTCAAAATAAATTATGTGTAAGGCTCTGCAATTTCACTCTTTATTTTTTGAGCGGTATTGTCCCAATTTTAAGATAATCGTAATAAATAATTACTCACTTATTAATATAAACAAACTAAAATATCTGGTTCATTTCCACTACTAATTTAAGAGTGAAATTTTTGCCCAATATTTGATATATTCAAACTAAAATCATGGAGGCATGCTATTAATTCTGTAAACTTCAATTATTTCATATAATTACTATCTTTTCTACTCCTGTAACATTTTGTGTTAACCCAACCATATATTCATATAACTTGTGTTATTCAACATTATAATAATCTATAGAATGATTCATCTTAATTAAATATATAACAAAATAAATTCAAACTAAAAAATAATAATAAAAAATTTATATAATATATGATGTAGTTTTGTACCTGGTAGTTTTTAAATAATCATAAACTTTAATTTCCAAAAAAATATTGAATAATAATTTAGAAATTTTAAAAATAAAATAATATTTTAGTTTATGAATTTTTATAAAATTAGAAATATATGTTAGGATATTAAAGAATAAAACCAAAAGATATAGGTTTATTATGAAATAATTATTTCTCTAAATATTATTTTTAAATAATATAAAAAGAAAATAATGTTTTCATATTTTCAAATAGGCTAAATTTAAGCATTTGGAATTGGATTTTATATTTCTTTTTCAATTTCTCTTAATAATTTTACTTAGAGAGCAGAGTAAAATTTAGCTTATCTTGAAAATCTGGATAAATT